GGCTAGGAAACTAAGCTGTGAGATTGTGAGGAATTTTGCATCAACCAGAAGAGAGCCCAGTCTGAGCCCACCAGAACGACATGTGAAGACTGGACCTGGCTACCAAAGGGCTTGGAGACTATGCTGTGAGATTGTGAGGAATTTTGCAGCAACCAGAATCCATTACCAGAATGCTACTGCATATATTGGAGCAGAAGACTTAACAAGTTGGAACCATTATGCAACCTAGAGGAGAAAGGAGAGCTTTCTTATCTGGGGAAATTTCTAACTGCTTTGCAAAAGGATCCAGAGATATTTAATCTAACAAGTTGGAACCATTATGCAACCTAGAGGAAAGAGGAAAGCTTTCTTATCTGGGAACTGCTTAGCAAAAGGATCCAGAGACATTTAATCTAAGTACTGTACATTAAAACAATTTCATGCCTGTTATTGCAGGAGTGACAATTTAATCTCATTTGTAAATGATTTCTCCAATAAACATTTTAATTTTGTTCACCTTGTCTCTCTAGCGATGGTGTCAATCCTAAATATGTGCCATAACAATAAGGCTACTTGGTTTCTAAAAAGCACAGGCGTTGACATCTGATAGCAATGATTGGTTTTTGTAGCTGAAACAACCTCATGGCAGGGAGTTATTTTAATCCAAATCAAACATTTTACAAAGGAACATATATGTGAAAAATCTTACATTTGGCACCTAGTAGTGGGATAAGCTCTCAGAACATGGTACCTGAAAAGTACATTTCCTAATCTGCAGAATAGATTCCAGCTGAGTTGGGATTGTGTTTTAAAGAATTCCCAAATATCCTGGAAGGATTTAACACTCTTGATAGTCTCTTTCAACTTCCCTTTGATTATCTTTTCTAATCCCTTCATTGCTGACCTTCCTTCTTCTGATTTCTTGGCTGCAGTCTCAATTTCAGTTAATAATTAAAAAGTTATTTATTTGTGTGTAATGTAATCAAACTAGGCCAAAATCCTAGTCCTGTAAAGCATGTATACACTAATTCAGATACAATAGTTGTCTCAAATTAATCCCAGAAGGCAGAACACAAAAGTAGAAAAGCCAGTTTAGACATCCTACACAAAAGGGGACCCAGTCGTGCCAAGGTCTCCATTTTTTTTCCCTGTTCCAGAGGGCACATTTGGATTTAAGGATCATGGACACTGTCACAAAATGGCTGCTATGGATGAGAGGGAGAGAGGGGTGCAAGCTGAAGATAGGCATAAATTTCTGGCAATTTTTGTCAGTTTGTCCTTTGGACAAACAAGTGTTCAGTGCTTCCCAGCTGGCATGAACCCACTCAGAGGCAGTGTCCAGAGGAGATGGGGCAGGGAAGCCAAAATGCTGCTTCTGAGTGGGGGCCTGCCAGGGATGGCGGGGCTGGGAAATTGCCAGACACCTGTCTGGCCAAAGGACAAACTGGCATAAACCACCAATTCAGCAGTTCGTGACAATCTTTAGCTCCAAACTCAGAACTAGCCTGTGACTTTTTACAACCACGGGTTATTATGTAGGCACAGGCAGATCTGGCTCTAAACGCAGAGGTATCTGTGGTATCTTCTTTGCCAACTCTCGCTATAGTGGGTGTTATGGTTATAAGTACCTACTGAATAAATTTCAACCATTCACTCTAACTAGGTCATTTAGAATCATGTTGTTGTTGTTGTTGTTCAGTTGTTAAGTTGTGTCCAACTCTTTGTGACCCCATGGACCACATCATGCCAGGCCCTCCTGTCTTCCACTGCCTCCCAGAGTTTGGTCAAATTCATGTTGGCAGCTTTGATGACACTGTCCATCCATCTCATCCTCTGTCGTCCCCTTCTCCTCTTGCCTTCACACTTTCCCAACATCAGGGTCTTTTCCAGGAGTCTTCTCTTCTCATGAGATGGCCAAAGTATTGGAGCCTCAGCTTCAGGGTCTGTCCTTCCGGTGAGCACTCAGGGTTGATTTCCTTCAGAATGGATAGGTTTGTTCTCCTTGCAATCCAGGGGACTCTCAGGAGTCTCCTCCAGTACCGCAATTCAAAAGCACCAATTCTTTGGTGGTCAGTCTTCTTTATAGTTCAGCTCTCACTTCCATACATCGCTACTGGAAAAAACATAGCTTTGACTATGCGTATCTTTGTCGGCAAGGTGGCTTTTAATTTTGTGGCTGCTGTCACCATCTGCAGTGATCATGGAGCCCAAGAAAGTAAAATCTGTCACTGCCTCCATATCTTCCCCTTCTATTTGCCAGGAGGTGATGGGACTAGTGGCCATGATCTTAATTTTTTTGAGGTTGAGCTTCAGACCACTTTTTGTTCTCCCCTCTTTCACCCTCATTAAGAGTTTCTTTAAGTCCTCCTCACTTTCTGCCATCAGAGTGGTATCATCTGCATATCGGAGGTTGTTGATATTTCTTCCAGCATTCTTAATTCCAGCTTGGGATTCCTCCAGTCCAGCCTTCCGCATGATGTATCCTGCATATAAGTTAAATAAGCTGGGGGACAATATACAGCCTTGTCGTACTCCTTTCCCAATTTTGAACTAGGCAGTTGTTCCATATCCAGTTCTAACTGTAGCTTCCTGTCACATACAGATTTCTCACTCCCCTTTCTTTAAGACCTTGCCATAGTTTGCTGTGGTCCACACAGTCAAAGGCTTTTGCGTAGTCAGTGAAACAGAAGTAGATGTTTTTCTGGAACTCTCTGGCTTTCTCCATAATCCAGCGCATGTTAGAATCATTCTCTGTATAAATTCCAAAACATTCAGGGGTTTTGTATCAAAATGACCAGACAGTAAGAGGGACTTAAATATAAAAACATAGGAAGACCCCTGATGCACCACACCAAACAACTCTCAGGTCTAGAATTCTGTTTCCTCACAGTGGCCAGCCTTCCCCATGAACTGTTTTACAATTATTATACCATGATGAATGATAGGATGTCATTGAGAAAGCAAGGCAGCCTTCCCCATGAACTGTTTTACAATTATTTATACCATGATGAATGATAGGATGTCACTGAGAAAGCAAGGCATGTTCTTACTGATCCCATATTAGCTAAACAGTGCTGGGTTTGCAATACAATGTTTTGTGCCATCATAGTTAATTCTTATCCTGTTACACTATGGTAGCACAGAACATTTTTCAAACTCATGAATATTTGACTGGCAAAATATGACATGAGCTCTTATTGGCTACTAAATATAGGAAATAAGTTATTCCCTGGCACCTTGCCTGCACAAGAAGTTACGAGATTTTGTGAGGTCTGGAATGTGCTTTTTGCCTCATCCTGGCCCAGTACCAGAACTTCCAATTCTTTCCTACTTGACCTTTTATTGTTTTTTAATAGCTAGTCTTGCTCCACCTTTAATCTATCCCAATCTTCATTTCCATCATCCTAATGCTTCGTCAGATATCATTTGTTTCTTGGAAACACTGGTAGGTGTTTATTTTTATTAATCTCTGCCTTACTCAGTTTCTTAAGCTTTTTGCTTCCTCTGTCTTGACTTTCTGTGACATTTTGGCCTGAATCACTCTACCAACAATGTGAATTAGAAGTATCACGATCTTAATCACTTTATCTGTGAAATCCTACAAGCCTGTTCTATTGGGGAGATCGGAAGGTAGAGGAACTACTTCCTACAAAGTCCTGCCGAACTTGTGGTTGTGGAATGGAAAGAATGGCAGAGCAGAACTTGGAAAATTATTTCTGGAGTACAGCTTCTAGAATTGCCTTCCTAAAAAGTAACTTATCTGAATTCTACATGTAAATAGCTTTTGTCTCAAACTACAGAAGACACTTGAGGACCTGAGCTGGTAGCATTCAAATCCCAGGTAGATTACAATTCATTGTGTGAAGTCACATTCAGTCAATGGATGAGTCCTTCAAAAGTTAAGAAACTGTATAGCTGCACTGGGCAGTCCTTCAACCCACAGGTGTTCCAATCCCACCACGACCAAGAGCCAAACATCACTCAACTGCCAGCTCGGACTGTAAGAGAATGGATGTCAAGGTTATATTTAGAAAGGATTCTTAAGCCAGTACACTCTCCCCATCACATTGACTGGCTAAACTAGGTCACCCATAATTGCTAAACCATACGTCTTCACCTTCTTCTCAGACCCTGTTTGCTGGATTTGGAACAGGTAAAAACAATTGGCATTGCCACTTTCTCTGTGTTCCTCTGTACAATGAAAACTGAATCTAGCGCATGAGTTATTGAAGAATGCATTGTAGGGAAAAGAGTGTGTGTGTGTTTGACTTGTAAAGATTTTAATCCCTATTATCATAAAGTTTTAGAAACTTGGTTGCCTCTCCAAGAATAGTTGGAATTACTTGTTTTATCTCAAATGCATCACCAAGAGATTTTACAGACGTTCATTCACAAGGGGCATCTGCTCCAGTTGCTGCTGTTTTTGCTATTTTTACAATCATTTATTCCCCTGCTGCCTCCCCTCCCCCTGGTCTTGCTTTAGGTTTCCACATTGGGTTTGGCAATCAAGAAGAAGACCTTTTACGGGGCATTTGAGCTTCACAAAGTGAATTCTCCGAGAGCAACAGTGGTGTTAGCAGGATTTACATGTGGGCAAGGGCTTAATGTGGAAAGGGCAGCCAGAAAGGGAGAGGGATGTTCAAAGAGAACATGTTCTGAAACTGGATCCCTCTCCCCCTGTCTCCCTCCCTCCCTCCCTCCCTCTCTCTCTTTGCCTGTTTTTGAAAAGTGCCTCCTTCCTCAGCTTTAGGAAATGGATCCCTGCTGGGATTTCCTTTCAAAGGTGACTCGTAACCTACTTGTTAGGGTCGATTTCTGCAGGGTACCCACAACTGGTATCTTTTGCAGCGTCAGCCAAAAAGCTCTGTGTGTGTGTGTGTGGTTGTTTGCGTCCATGTGTGTGTGTGCAATTTGGGTGAGGGGAAGCACTTGCTTCTCAAAGGGTGGGGGAAATCATACCCTCAGCACTTGGCAGTGGAAGCAAGCACCAGCAGTAGCAGCAATAGGCTCTTTGAGAGGAAAGGAAGAAAGGCAATGTTCTAATGGGGACTATGGAGTTTCAGAAAGATCCCAGTGCAGTAGCTCTAGAAATGCTTCTTGTAGTCCAGCCTGAGAAGAGGAAGACTGCCCAAAGATTGCAGATAGACAAACAGATGAAGAGCCATGGTTCATCCCAAAGCCAAGGTAAAGAAATCTGTATTAATTGGGCAGTTTAGCTTGCAGAGATGGGCAATGCATGCAAATTCAAGTATTAAGTGTTACAAGTGAGTTGCAAGTGTTACAAAGGGGACATGGAGGGGGGGATCAGGGGAAGCAAGGCAGTTATTTAGGCAATTCTGCCCCTCCACCCTACCCAAATAATAGTTAATAAAATATGAAAAATCCTGTTCCTTTTGCAAACTTTCAGTGTACTCCCCTCCTACCAATCTTAAGATGGCAAATGTGGTTTCATGTTGCGGGCAAAGCAGGACAAATATCTGTTGCAAATCCATGCAAAAGAATGTACAGGAGACACTGTCTCGTCGTCGCAACAGTGCACAGTGTCCCATCGCAACATGAGATATTACAGTGTGAGAAATCTTTGAAGTCTCTTCACAAAAAACCTACAGTCAACAGATGAAGCCAGTAAGTGAGTCAGCTAAAGCAGACTGTGATGACAATTCCATCTGTAGTCTATTGTTATCATAAACACAGGGAACAAATGTTTGTGTTTGGGTGAGAGCATGCATATGTGTGCTATCATATACGTGTGTGATTAATACAGGGACCAGCTGAAGGAGACATTTATAGCTAGTCAGGCCAAAAGCCTGAATCATATTTTGAAGAAGACAGAATTGTAAAACTAAACTAAGTAGCACTACCACCCCATTCGCTATACAGAAAACAGTGAAATGGGTAACCCAATGAACATCACCATTGTGATCACAAAGACTAGGATACTTTAACCTGGAATTGGTAGATAGAGAGGGAGATGATGTCACTTGCCCTGGGTGCCAAATCAGTTTGTTAACTTTCTTCCCATGGCACATGCCCAGCCTGTTCCCCTTCAAGAAAATCTATGAATTTACATGCCACACAATTGTTCTCCTCACTTTGAAGTTAGTAACAGTACTTAGGATTTCAAGATGGCTCACAAAGCCATTATTCTTTCATCTTTTCACCTGCAAAAATTAAACACTAATAATCAGCTTACTTCATTGGATTGTTGTAAGGATTTCAAAGATAATGTACATGATACAGAGCTTATGCTGAAACGTACTACATAGCCTCAAAGAACCTCATATACATTCTCTGAGAAATCCTACAACGACCCAGTAAGAAAAGTGAATTTTATTGTGCCTTAAGCACACATGAGGGAGAGGGGTGACCAAACAATGGCTTGCCTAAGACCACCTGTTGAGTTGTTAACTGAAGTGACATTTGAATCCGGAACTCTCTGGCTCACAACATGCCCTCTGAACGTTATGCCAGTTCTCTCAGTAAAATATGGTGAACAAAATTCCAGTTGTTCCTCATGGCAATGGAGTCCAGTCCTACCTAGATTTCATATCAAACAGCTAGATTTACTTGGTGTGATGGCTTGCCTTCAAATTATTAATAGCTGTAGTGGGGCTATTGGGCTGAAGGCAGGCAGTTAACCCTTTCTTCGGCTGCTGCCTTTCAGAGGAAAATCCCTCTCACCCCACAGCATCTGTTTAGTCTTTTCATCCAGCAGTCAGAGAAAACACCAAATAAAGAAGCAAGAGATGGGATATTCACATTCATATCCTGGGGGAGACAAATATGAAGATCAGCACGACAGGTGGCTGGGCCCTTTGGACCTTCCCTCCGGAACCATCCCAGTTCACTCACTGGGCTTCGTGTGGCGCATGCAGCCATCTTCGGTAACATTGTGTCAATATTGGAAGTAGCCTGGCTGGCACTCCCCCAACTCCCTGTGGTGCTGACCATTCAGCAGCTGAGTGGGGAGACTTGTCATCCCTCCTCCTTGCTGGAGTGGTCAGCAGCTCAGGGAGGTGAGGAAGTGCCAGCTGCGCTACTTCTGCAATTGGCACAACGTTACCAACAATGGCCATGGGCAAAATGCAAAGCCCAGTGAGTAGACTGGGATGGTTCTGGGGGTAGGGAACGGACCTCCTTGGCACCTGTGGTGTTGTGCTTCTTATTCATATCCCCGGGGATACGAATACGAAGCTCTCATGTCTAGAAGCAGTAGCACCAGGATACAGATGGAATGGCAGATGTATCATGAGGAGTGCCACAACTGAGCTCAGAGCCATAGGACACCTTTGATGCAAACATTTGTCATAACATTAGTTTTTACTGTTATTCTTCAAGGTACCACATATCTTTGTTATTTTGCTGTAACGGATTAGCATAGCTGCCCTGCAGTCACAGCACTGCTACAAGCACAACTATTTTCTCACTATCATTGTGCTCATAGTTGCTGTGAACAATTTGTCACCTGGGATCCGATCTTCTGATGACAAGCCTGCCATATTTTGCATGCCTGACACCCAAGGACCAGCCTAGCTATCTTCCACTGACATCTTACGTGAAATGTATGATCCACGGTACACCCTTGGTGGTTCAAGCTCCCCTCTGTGCTGCTTTAAGATAAGAGAATAAATTATGTAAAGAAACAGGATTTTGTTAACAATTCCAATAACGGATCTCCACCTTTCTACACACTGGCAGTGTAGGTTGGCCTTTGCACCTCCAGGCTGTGATAAAGAGCTACGAGTGATCATCATTTAGGGCTAACAGATATTGTAGAGATGTTGCATGGAAAATAAGATCTCCTTTCCCTGCACACACAGTAGTTCTAATGAAAATTTCAACCTTGTGCAAACACACATGCACAGGATTTTACCAAGTCTAATATTGTATGTGGGTGGATAAGACCATCCCCAGACACAAAGCAAAAAAAAAAAATCTCTCCATGGCTAGGGGACTGATTAAGATGGTTTACCCCAGGAGATTGATGCAAAGCTGTCATGCTTTCCTGACAGCTAAAAAAAAGTGTGCTGCTTATATACTGCCCCATAGTGCTTCAGGCACTCTCTGGGCGGTTTACAAGTTAATTATGCAGGCTACACATTGCCCCCCAGCAAGCTGGGTACTCATTTTACCGACCTCAGAAGGATAGAAGACTGAGTCAACCTTGAGCCGGCTACCTGGGATTGAACCCCAGGTCGTGAGCACAGTTTTGGCTGCAGTACAGCGGTTTAACCACTGCGCCATGAGCTCTTGGGAGTTTTCTTGTCATCTCGGCAGGCAGTCCTGTTGAAGTCCTTGTTGACCTCTAGAATGGGGAAACGGCCAGGGCTGTGGACATGGTCACTCTTAAGCATTCCTTCCTATGGAGTATAGACAGACAAGTGCCCTGGTGAATGGGGAAATGGCCAGGGCTGTGGGCACGATCACTCTTAAGCATTGCTTCCTATTGAGTATAGACAGACAAGTGCCCTGGCTTGCCTGTGAACTAGCAGTGATTAAATGAGCAAGGTAGAGGCTAGGGCAATGATGGTGAAAAATGTGCAGCAAATCTGACTGAACACTGGCTAGAGTTCATTTGAAGGCCCACACCACAGCAGCAGCTGCAGTGAAGAAAGGACTCCTCTCTCCAGCATTGTGTTTGCTCAGAGTCACCTAGCAGAGTTGTAATACATATGTTTCAATTGATACAGCTTAAGGAGGTGGAGAGGATTCATTGAGAGGTGAAAGTCACCACATGTGTAGTAGGTCCTTGCCCTTCATATTTGGATGGGGTTGCACTACCTCTAAAAACTCAGGTCCACAGGTTGCGTGTACTTCGGGATTCATCCCTAAGCCTACATGCCCAGGTTTCATGGGTGGACAGGAGATCATTTGCAAAGTTAAAACTAGTTACCAGCTGAGTCCTTCAGATGTCAGATTTGGGTACAGTGACACCTGCCGTAGTTACATCCTACTTGGATTACTGCAATGTGCTCTAGGTGGGACTGCCTTTGAAGATAGTTTGGAAACTTCAACTTGTTCAAAATGCAGTTGCTGACTGGGGCCAGTTATAGAGATCATATGATGCCCTTGTTAACAAGAGCTGCACTGGCTACCAGTCTATTTCTGGGCCCAATTCGAAGTGCTGGTTATTGAATAAAAAGCCCTAGACAATTTGAGTCCAGGCTATCTGAAGTATCTCCTCATATGAAATTTCCCAGCATTTGAGATCTTCAGAGGAGGCCATCTTCTCAGTTCCATTGCCATTGTAGGCAAATTTGATGAGGATATGAGAAAGGGCCTCCACTGTGATTGCTATAAGATTGTAGAATGCTCTTGTTTGGGAGCTTAAGTTAGCCCCTTCGCTTCCATCCATCCACCCGCAATGACTAACTTTTTCAAGCAGGCTTTTAATAACCATAACTGGATCCTAGATGCTGGGTTTTAGCTGAGTAAGTTTTTAAAGTTTTAAATGTTTAAAATTGTTTAATGTATTTTAATTGTTATTAGAATCTAATTGTTCTTAATGTGAAATTTATTGTGTTTTTAATTTTACTTGTTCTAATGTTGTGGGACACCTTGAGTCCCCTCATCAGGAGACAGGTGGTCTACAAATAATACTAAACAAACAAAATAAACAAAAAGAGTAGAAACTGCTTCTCTTGTGGATAATGCACCTTTTCCTTTAGTGTGTTTCAATAGATTAGTTGTATTAATTCAATTGTTTTAAAAACCCTGTTTTATGAATGTGAGATATTGTGATTCTGTATCCATAATTCAAAATGGCCCGATATTGTTGCACAATATCATGCCTGTGTTGCCAGCAGGGAAAAGGTTGCCAAGCTTTATATAGCAAAGGGCAGCCTGAAAGTTGACAACACCAATCTACAGGATACCCTCTTGTGCTCACTACCATTTACAAATGCCAGAAAACCACTCCTATAGCTCTGAATATGGTGGTTTTAAAAAGGTACCCATTTTTAGTTTGAAAAAGACTACAGGATTCCTTTTTTCAAATGATGGCTGCTGAAACATAAACAAGCATCTAAAAAAATGCATATTACTTCCATTTTCAGTGGTTTCCCCTCACTAACAGATTTAGCCCAATCAAATGAATCAATAAATAAAACTCAAACAATTAACTAACGAAGATTTGTCCAATTAGGGATAGGAATATTTGTAATCATTTATTCAGCATTTCAGCCAACAAAACATTTTACATTTCAGTTCAGCCCTCCTAAAAACGACCCAATGAGAGAGTCCTGTGGGTTTGCTTTTTATCAATAATGAAGAGGGGCTTAATGCATTATTTCATGTCATTTCTTCCTCCAGCCTCATGATGCATAAAGACTCCCTCATGAAGCCTATCACATCTCTGATATATAGTGTCCTTTGGTGTGTGATGCATTGCAGCATATGGAATCCAGAAATGACTGTAGAACGCCATGCTTTTTTTTACAAAAATATTCATTTTCCATTGGGCAAGGGAAGACCATAGGGAAGGGGATTTGCATCAGGGTATTGGGGTAAATAAAAAATACTGAATGTGATAGAGAACAGGATATATCATTATTACATCTGGCAATCTGTTTCTTACTAAGCTTATCTTGCATTTTTTTCTAAGCCTTTAACATCTAAAATTATATCTTATATTTTCTTTCTCATAATTTTAACCCTTTCATATTCTCATCTCTCATCCAATTATACAAAGGTTCCCACTTTTTTCTAACCTCGGCAATTTCTTTGTCTTTTAATACAGTATTTCAGTGAAAATATCCATCTCTGCTGCTTCAAGAATTTTTTCTATTAATTCCTGGGTTATTGGAGTCTCCTCTTTTTTCCAGTATTTGGCATATAAAATTCTTGCTGCTGTAGTTACATGTATGATAAATAACTTTTTTCTTTTTCTATGGAATCTGGTGTTGTATTTAACAAAAACAGTTCATGTTCATATGGAATTACAGAGGATAAAATTTTTTGTAAAACTTATGGACTAATTTCCAAAAGCTCTTAGCTTTCCTACCATGCTTTTTTTAAAAGCGTGTTTACAATTCTCATAATTATCTATTATTTTCAGAGTCTAAGACATTTTTAAGGATTCTTTTCAATTGTCAACAGGCATTCTTAAGTCTTGTTCTTCATCTCTTTCTCATCTTTCTGCCACCCCTTTCCCACCCCAAATATTAAAAATGCTGTGGTTCATTCCTACTCCAGAGCAGAGAGAGAACTGTGTAGCCTCTACATAGCATGCAGCCTTCCAAGGCCATTAGTACCTCCTTGAATGAGCTCTTGAAATCTCATGCTGTTATTTATGCTTTTATAGGCTTTCAAGGGGATGGCAATGGAAACAATAAACTGGAGCAGTATCAAGAAAATGACCTTCATGGTATGTCATTACCCTTCCCCCCCCCCAAAATAAGACAGGGTCTTATGTTAATTTTTGCTCCAAAAACACATTAGGGCTTATTTTCAGGGGATGCTTTTTTTTTCATGTACAGCAATCTATGTTTATTTAAATACAGTCATGTCATTTTATTCTGGTTGCTGCACAGTGGTGGAGGATGGGGTTTCTCTTAACTGAGGTTTATTTTGGGGGTAGGGCTTATGAACATCCTGAAAAATCATACTAAGGCTTATTTTCTGGTTAGGTCTTATTTTAGGGGAAACAGAGTATTATTATTAGGACTATGTCCTTCCAAATTACAGCCAGCCCCCAACACATCTAGGATTAACTATCAGAAGACATGACATTCTAAAAGTTTGAACCTTCATGCTAAAAAAAAAAGTGCTGACCTCAAGATTCTGAAACTGGGTGTCATAACTGTAAGGGATAACTCTAAAAAGAAGAGTAATCAGCTGATAAGTAGACACACAACTCTTTTGGACAACAACTGTATTATGTGCAGTGGTCCTTAGACACAAGCAAGCAGAATTAAACATTAAACAGGTACAATGAGCACCAGAAGTGGGAAATATGAAATACTGTCATTGATTTAACCATGCTTATTTACAAGGAAAAAATAACTGGAAACCTAAACCTATACTGTACATTTTTAATCTCCAGGGTAAATGATAAAGCATCTCAATGAAAATGTATCACAAGAAGGAGCCATCATCACCATCTTGAGTTCTCTGTATTGCAACCCTTTGACCAAAGAGAACATCTGCTGCAGTCACTTTTTTGTGTGGACTGATGGCATCCTCAGAATAAAATGTAGTGTAAATAAAAATAACTGCTGGATAGCTCGGTGGTTTAGGCATCTGGCTGTGGAGTCAGGGGTTCTGAGTTTGATTCCCCACTTAGCCTCCTTGACAGGGGCTGGACTTAGTGATCCATAGGGTCCCTTCCAGCTCTGCAGTTCTAAGATTATATATGAATGCAATTAAGGTCTTGAGTTTGAAACTGAATTTGCATGCAGTTTTGAAAATTCCAGTTCTGAAACATCTGTTGTGGAACCAAAGTCCACATTTTGCACTGAAAATTAAAAATCAAAATTTTATCAGTTCCATTCCAACAGCAATACAATAGTTTGCACTGAATTTTAGATATGAAACTAAAATGTTCAGGTTTTAAAATTTAAATTTCTGTCTTTATAGATAAAATTATTTCTATCTCTATACTCTATTCTTGCTGCCTTCTTGAAGTCAAAGATAGCACACTGGGTTTTGCTGTTTACTGTTCACAGATGCACTCAAACATCTAAAAAACCTTTCTTGCATTGTTGTTATTAAATCATTTGTTCTGGGGAACTCAGGCAGTCTGTGCTGACAGAATAACAAGCAAAACTGGGCTACAAGAGGGAGATGCTAGCATGTGGAACTTTGAGGTTGACTGATCATGGAATGTATATGGAAGGGAGGGGTAAAGGATTGAAGCATCTCATAGCAGGGCATGGTTGGCTTGAATCCTTAAACAGAGCACCCCTGCTAAGACATAAGGATGCACTCCAACATTTCAATTGAGTTTCTACTTGCTTCTTAGTTAACATGGTTTTTTTTTCAGTCTCAAGTCCAGTTACTACAGTTTCAAAGTATTTTGGTCATTCCAATACTTCCTTTCCCTCTGCAGGCTGTGCAATTCAGATGCAGCAAGTCATCACATCCTGTTCAGTCCAAGGTATGTGGTAAACGAATGAATTGTTTGCTTTTTCCTGTGCTTATGTCCCAACTGTCGGCAGGAAGGATTGCAATCCAGAATATCACAAATAGGACAAAACATTAAGAGGCATTTCGTTAGTCCCCAAAGCAGAAAAGCTATTCAGGAAAGCTATTCAGAACAAGATGGTTGGACAGCGTCATTGAAGCTCCCAACATAAATTGATCAAACTTTGGGAGGCAGTGGAAGACAGGAGGGCCTATGCAGGCATTATTAAACTATGCAAGCCCAAGATTTCCCAGAGGGTAATCCATTTCACAGGACCAAAAAACTGTAAGGTCTCCAGGCAAGGAGAGGAAGCAGAGAAAGGTGCAGTAGCTCTGGCCTCCAAGCCCCCACCCCCACCTGCTGTTCCTGTTGCCTGCCTCCATGTGTAGAGAGAGGCCATCTTCCATTGACATTGCTTGGTCTGTGGAGGATTTCTGTACAACTGAAAACCCTAGTTTGCCAAGATTCCCAACTGTAGAGAGGGCTTCCACAGACAGCGAAAGGTCTTCTCTTGAGATGGGTTCTTTCCACGCTTGATAAAAGCAAAACTGTTGAGGGAAGGAGTGGGCTGCAGTGGAGATGCAGTTTCCCCCCTCCCTCCTCTCTATTCTTGTGTTGATTTGAAATTCTTTTATAATGTCAACATCAGTTTCTTATTACTTCACTGATGCAGAAAACAAATGAAAAAAAGAAATCCAGTGACTGAGAAGAATAGAGAAATCAATGTGTGCAAGCCTGCTCTTAACTGGCTAAGAATAAATTAAAGAAAACTAAACCAACAAATCTTCCATTCCAGTCCAGTCTAGTTGTTTGTAGATGAGATGCTGATCTTATCTTTCCTGCTCATACAGTGTTTTCTCCCCAGCAAAGTTATCTCCTTTTTTTTAGGTGTCTTCTCAATAGCGACGTCCTCTTACAAAGAAAGCCACTATATTTACCTTCTAATGATTATTCCAATGACTTTCATACTTCTGCTTATAACATGGCTTTACACTCATACCTCTTTTGGCACTTGAGAGAACATTACTGCTAAATATGGGATCAGCATCTAGTGAGGTCCATGGGGGGAAGTGAGAAGAAATTTCATCTGTGAAACAGACAGATACGGAAATGAGATAGAGACATGCCATGTAGTTTCAGAAGCATTTTGAATGTTTGGTTCCCTCTCCCATGGCCTGTCAATATAATACTGTTTAAGGGTTCATAGTGAGAGAATTTCCATTTTATGGGTTTTAAAAGTTCATACTGTAAACAAAAACAAATCTGGAATATATTTCAACAATATTCATAGTTAAGGATTTCTGCATCTGCAATGGAACCAATGAGCGAACCATACTGTGGCTTCCATGTGGGGAAGTTGCCACACAGAGGGGATCCTGAGTGGCTCCAAATATTGCTGTAGTGATGTGGTGGTATTCTCTGGCTTCAGCTAAGAAGAAGGATGGTTTCCAATCAATGAATGTAAGCTATTTTTACTGTAGTATGAAACTTAACTGACGAGGCTTTGAGCCTCTAACAACAGTCAGCCATATTAACAATAATAACTGTAGAACACCTTCATCTCACTCTGCTTCTGAGAACAAGTGGTTCCTTCCAGAAATTATTACCCCTTTACTTTCCACAGTACTGTTACCTGTACTTTACTAAACAAGCACATTGAAACAGCCCTTAATGTTTAGGGGTGATATATAACATACTGGTCTCCATGGTGATGACCACTAGCTTATTCTGATGGCTGATCATTAATGAAAATGCATTCATTAGGGTGCATATATGAGGATCTAGCAATTTTCAGGCAGAGGCAGATTATTAGAGTACAAAGATATCTGAAACTCACCTGCCATTACGTAAGTCCTCCCATTCATCCAAGCTGTCCACCATGAACCTACCTTTTAGAACTCCATGAGAACAGGAGAAACAAGCAGGGTGGTTCACACCAAAGATCCATCTCCTTCTGTATTTTGTTGCCAAAAGCCATTTACCTAATGCCTTTGGGAAGCTCCAGCAAAGAAGCCCAAGGAGAATTGAATCTTTTTTTTTTAAGAGATTTCTTAAGGGAAACCATATTTCTTGCCTCTTTCTTGCAGATATAACAAGTGTATTTGGCTCAGATCACAGTAATGTGTGTGCTCCTCTGACACTAAGCAACAAGAAGGAGATAGAACAAATAGTATGTCTGACTTAAGACAGATACACATATGAATCCCTAAATAGCTCTTACTGAAATGTACACATGAAGGAACCATAGTCGTCTGAGAAATCAGCTCATAAATTGTAAGTCTTGGTCTTTCCACACCAAAGTGATAAGCAGAAGAATGAGTGGTGAGGAAGCAGGATAGCAGAGGAAAGAAAGAGAAGGTTTGAAGTTCAGGACTGCTTAACCAAAAGGAAATATGAAATGAAATGGGAAAAGTGGACTTTTTTTAAATGCTGTATTTGATGATGTACAGATGGATGTTTCCTTACATAAGAGACCAAATCTCTCTGGCCTACTGCAACTCCCCTTATTTCCTGAAAGGTCTGGAATACATCTCAAGCTTGTTCTGAGAGTCCACTGGCCTTAAGAAAGAGGCAAGAATGTGACATAGGAAGCCACAGTGGAAACCAGGTTGCCAACAAAACTTTACTTAGCACAAAAGTGGATGTTACAGATAAACACAGCATTAGAGTTGAAAGCACATCAGTGTATGAGACGTGATTTAGGCTGTCTTTCATGTCTGAGGGATTAGACCTCAAAGGAATCATGTGCTGAAGCCCTGAAGACAAGTCACAAAACAAAGCAAGGTAATGTGCAAACTCTGGAATGTGAGAGAAACTGGGTTGTGTAGAAACTCTGTCTCTGCTCTCAAGTTGCTACTGCTATTCAATTTCTCCCAAGAGCTGCCTCCCAGTGCAGCTATTACTGCCACATCCCAAGCTTGTCCTGAGGATCCACTGACGTCAAGCTTTTTGGGACATTCAGGCAAATATAATGGGGAGGAGGGTAAATGCAATTCAAGGAGGACCCTGGCACTTGCCTCTTTAACCTCACACTGTATTGGATACAGGGTAGAATTAAGAATTGCTGAGGTCCTAAACTGTGTCAAATTTATAAGGCCTCATAGAATAACATTATCCCAAAATGGATACTATTCCAATGCTTATATGAAACTAGAAATTCCTTAATTATTTGGTATTTAGAGGCTATGATCATTTACAGCCTTAAACTGAGGCCTACTTAGCTTGGGCTTGAGTCCGATACTGAGGAGATACAACCCAATCTATTTGTGTTCTGAATTACAGTAATTTTCAGAGGACTGACCAGCTACAAAATCGTTTTTTGTTTTAGGAACCCAAGTGAAAGTCGAGGTACATGATAGAAATTCCATGCCACAGTTATTCAAGAAGCTCTCCATTGGGAAAGGTATGCAGATTTATAAAAACACTTAAGCTAAGGAGTTCTGGTTTGGTTTGGGTTTTTTTTTAAAGCTAGCCACTCTCGATAGCTTCAGTCCCCAACTTATATACAACAACAACAAAAATAACCATAAGCTTTATCCTACAGGGTTGTTGACTGAATACAACTGGACAATGCATGTAGAGCACTCTGAACACTTGAAAATGCTATACAAATGTTAGATAGTAGTAATGATAGCAGTGGTAGTAGCGTTAGTCAGACAAGTGCTACCAGTTGCTGCCCGGGCCCAATTCAAAGTGCTTGTTTTGACATATAAAGCCCTAAACGGCTTGGGCCCTGGATACTTGAAGGACCGCCTCCTTCCATATGAGCCTACCCGGCAGTTAAGATCTAGCCAGGGGGCCCTTTTGAAAGAGCCGTCCCTCAAGGAGGTAAGAGGGACGGCTTGTAGACAAAGGGCCTTTTCGGCAGCTGCCCCCAGACTATGGAATGCCCTCCCGACTGAGATTTGTCTGGCGCCGACACTGATGACATTTCGGCACCAGGTCAAAACCTTCCTGTTCCAGAAGGCTTTTAACTGAAATAATATTAGCTGTGGGTCCGATGGCAATTTTATATATATTTTAATTGTATTTTAATTGTTACATATCTTTACTGTATTTTAAATGCTGTAAGCCGCCCAGAGACCTTTGGGTAGTGTGGGCGGCATATAAATTAAATAAATAAATACAATAAATAAATAAATAAATAAGTGGCTTGAAAGATGTCTTTAAAGCCTTTATAGCCCATCCTATGTCACAGGATCTCAGGGCGGGTTACAGAGCTGTATAAAATGGTTTTAAAACATCAGATGTTTAAACAATTTAAAACCAAACAATTTAAAATATACAAGTAAAACATTCAAACATTAAAGCCACTGTAAAATCCGTGCAAGCCTCAATCCTCAACACTCAAAGGTTCTAAAATGTTTGGTTTGGTGCTGAAATGATGCAAATGTCAGCCCCAATCAAGCCTCTAACAGAAGGACAGGAAAGAAGCTGTTGCCTAATCTTCAGTCCCAATGTGCAGCTGCAAACTGAAGACAAGTCCCAGGTCAGGGAAGACACCACCGAAAAGAAAACTTTAACCCTACCAGCTTGACAATCCTGGTCATCCATTGGAGAGGAAGGGTGCTGCATATCAACCCTCTCAACACTGAAACAGATGGTTAGGGTGTCCCCTTCCCTCATCTCCAGGTAGGCAATCAGTGCAAGCAGATTGTGCACAAAGCACTTTTTCACCAACAGATGCCTGAGCACGCATCAGGAGGCAAAAGTCTGACACCACTACTGGCGTCCTGTTCGAAGAGCAGAGGCAGGGTTAGCAGACAGTCACTCAATAATAATTAAAAGGTGTCAGAACAGTTGAAGAATGATGCAAACAATGTGCCAGGTCTTGTGAAACTGTGATGATCAGGTCTCTAGGTTACACAAGTCTAAGCAAAATTTACCAAGATGCACAAGGGTTATTTTCCCAGAAGGGCCTCTGTTTCCAATTATAAGGAAGAGTAATACAGCACTGTAATGTTTGATTTTTATTAAATAATATGTATGGAGGTCCAAGCTGGACTGAGACTGTGCTACACCAAGAGATTTAAGAACCTTCGCTGTTTGTGCATGCCATGGTCCTTATGACCTCACATTCAGCTGCTATTTGCCAGAGGAGGAAAGACTGGCCAATTGTCACTTCTTGCAATGTGATCGCTGGAGAACTGTCCTGTCTTGGTGAGGTGAATTCATCAGTCTTTTTCTGCTGTTGTATTTACTGATTAAAGAGGCAGAGAGGGAAAGAAATAAGTGTTATTTTCATGTGAAATAGGACTCATTCGATGAAAATTTTGAACACAAGATGAAAATTTTGGGAAATAGCATGAGATTGCAAATGTTGATTAGAACAGATGTCATTTAGGCACTAATTACAAAATAGACAGGTGTCACACGATTTTCTCATGATGACAAATTCCCCACAAACATACACACAGAGAGATTGGAAAAATGTGGTGCTGGAAGTTAATGATAGCCCCTTAAACAACTCACGAATAACGAGGTAAGTGTTTGTTTTATACTCTGTGTCCTTTCTACTTTGATCTCTTTTGCCCCTCCTAATACTAATTATCCTCCCTATTTCCTAGGTTTGCAAGAAAATGGGAAACGCAGACCACGTCCACCTAGTTTGAAAGACCAGCATGGTAACTATGCATATAACATCCATCCCAACTAAACAAGCTGTGTGTGGTTTTTTTCAAATGCATAGAATATACACTTTTAAAACAGCAATTGTATATAGTATTCGCGAAGGCTTTCATGGCTGGGATCTAATGGTTGTTGTGGGTTTTTTCGGCTCTTTGGCCATGTTCTGAAGGTTGTTCTTCCTAACATATCGCTAGTCTCTGTGGCTGACATCTTCAGAGACTGGTGCTACATTAGGAAGAGCAACCTTCAGAATACAGCCAAAGGAAAAAACCCACAACAACCATTAGTTATATAAAGGTTTAATAATTATTCCATCTGTTTTTTGGGAATTCTGTAACTATATAGGGATCCTGTTCTGTTCAAACAGACTGTAATCTAGTGCAGTTCTTTCATTCATAGAAGGTTCTTCAATGTAGTTGAACTGAAGGGAGGAAATTATTTTAATAAATCCCCCCCCCATCTTTGGCATGCTCCTCCCCTCTCCCCACTCTATATGATGAAGAAACTGTCCAGAATAGCAAGTAGGTGGCATAATAAGATATAGGAGAAACAAGGAATATACAACATTTCATAACTTTCCCTTTCATCCATGGAAACCTCTGATAAAACTCTAGTCATTAGCATAAGGGCCTACCCACACTGGCATATAGTTATAATATGTGAACTTCCGGTGGCACAGTTTGGATCGGAAGTAAAAGAGACCTTATCTGCAAGTGTTTCAACAATCCATCTTTCCCCTTTAAAAGCTGTGACTCACCTCTCTGGCCTGGCAGTAGAGCATGCATTCTTTTTGGCACACTCATTGTTTAGCGCAGTGGTCCCCAACCTTGGGCCTCCAGATGTTCTTGGACTACAACTCCCAGAAGCCTTCACCACCACTTCTGCTGGCCAGGATTTCTGGGAGTTGAAGTCAAAGAACATCTGGAGGCCCAAATTTGGGGACCACTGGTTTAGCGTCTTTAATCAAGATATGGAAGCTGAAGCTGCTGAAAACTGCTAACTGGCATCATAGCTGCACATTCAGAGGGAGAGGGAGAGAGAAATGAAGGGAGGAGAGAATGAGGGAAGAGGAGCAGGTAGCGGGGAAGGAAGAAAATTGAACATACCAACAGAAGAGAGAGGAGTGATGTAAAAAATAATTTCACTTTCCCTGACTCTCCACACACAGTCAGAGGAAGTGTTAAATTGACAGCTGATCTGGCTACAAGGGATCATTTGCTGTTTGAATAGGAGGCACATTGCCCATCCCCCAAGCTCAACAAACCCTTTGTAGCCCAATCCATCCTACTTCCAAAACAGCCAGTCTGGGCAGGCCCATTAGGGTTTTTTAAGTACCTTGTTACCCATTACATCATGAGTTGGTGTGTTTGACATCATTTGTTGGTGTGTTTTACAAAAATCTGTATTCAGAAATATAGCCGAAACTCCCCACAAATTATCCCTCCAAAAGAGCATTTTAGAAGTAATGTTGTTACACATGCACGTCAGAGGTATCATTACAGCTTTTTGTATCTCTTTGTAAAAACAAGATTGTTAGGCCCTTGTTACTTAAAATGTGTAAGAGGAAACTTGTAAGATGTTTCTTCTAAGCTCTGGGCTTGAATATTATAAAGTGTTATACTATACTTTTCAAAATGTTGGGAGAAATCCTATTGTGGTTATTGTGGGATTTCAGGCTCTTTGGCCATGTTCTGAAGGTTGTTCTTCATAACGTTTCACCAGTCTCTGTGGCCAGCATCTTCAGAGGACAGCTCTCTGTGCTCTGGTGTATTTTGCTTGGGAGTGGAGTATTTATGGCTGTGAGATGGGCTTTTGTCCTTTTCAGGAGATGGGTGATTACTGTGTCTTGTTGTGGGTGTATTGTTGTGATGCGGAGAAGAGATTATCTGTCACTGTGATTGATGGGTGTCATTAGCTGGTCTTTTGTGTGTAGTGATCCCCGGACCTTGTGGCTGGGTAGAGGTTGTTGACCTTTTGCACCCTCTATTTTTCAGAGCTGGGAGCCATGTTTTGTTGAGTTTCAAACGTTCCTCTTTTTTGTTGAAATTCTGCTGGTGCTTGTGGATTTCAATGGCTTCCTTGTGCAGTCTGACATAGTGATTGCTGGTGTTGTCCAGCATTTCAGTATTTTGAAATAGAATTTCATGTCCAGCTTGTTTTAGTGTCTCCCAGAATCAAAGAACATGAGAGACACTGCAGACTAAAAAATCAGAAAAATGTGCAATAGCTGAACATGCCCTAAAACAACTCCTCTCTCCATTGGCTGTTGATCCATTCTGCATCACAACAATACACCCACAACAAGACACAGTAATCACCCATCTCCTGAAAAGGACAAAAGCCCATCTCACAGCCACAAATACACCACTCCGAAGCAAACTACACCAGAGCACAGAGTGCTGTCCTCTGAAGATGCTGGCCACAGAGACTGGCGAAATGTTAGGAAGAACAACCTTCAGAACATGACCAAAGAGCCCGAAAAACCCACAACAACCATTAGATCCTGGACCTGAAAGCCTTCACAAATCCTATTGTGTTGCTACGCTAAAGGCATAACATCTGGAAGTGAACTGCTTCAGGCTAAGAAGTCTCCATAGACAGCCAGCCATACCCAATTCACTGAACTATCCAGCCACCTATGTGATGCACATCCATGTAAAAATAAATCATGAGAAGCCTAGACACAAGGAGCGAAAGCTTCTGTGAATAATAGCTGGTAATTGTTATGGGTTTTTCGGGCTCTTTGGCCATGTTCTGAGGGTTGTTCTGCCTAACGTTTCACCACTCTCTGTGGCCGGCATCTTCAGAGGACAGCACTGTAGTGTCTCTCATGTCCTTTGATTCTCGGAGACACTAAAACAAGCTGGTAATGCTTGGAGCTCATATATGGCAAATCAGAGCTAAACTTGTATTTATTAGAAACTTTGGTCATGCAGCCCATTGCTTTCTATAAGAATGTCTGGATCAGGGCAGTTTCTTGTCTGAAGGAGCTTCATATGAATTCTAAGGGGAAAAAATGATACCACTGCAAGGGAAAGCGGGCAAGATGGATTTCGTTTTGGCCGAGGAAGACAATCCCCACTTTTCATTCACACCTGCTTTGTATTTTAAAAGTTGAGTGGTAGCCATAAATGATCAGGAATTGCACGCAGGCGAGTAAGCAGCTGGTGGAAGAGAGACAGATTGCTGAATGCCTCTTCTGGCAACCGGCTTGATTTCCATGCCAGTTGGAGAAGGAGAAGTTTCTTCTTCCACAACCAGCATAACAACACGGCAAGCCGGCAGAGGACAGTCCGATTGCTCTGCCCCTTTTCCACTGGTCTATTTTGTAATAAGTAGCCCTTGGAAGTGTTATTTGTTTATATTGTGTCTTGCACAGTCCCAAGTCAGCATATGGAAGATATAGTCTAAAATTAACATTGCCACGCTCTGGTTGTGGCCACCACCACACCCCAAAATAGTATCCTGATCAAAGGCTAGAAACCTATATTTCCATGCTATATGTAGAGGAAGGGGCTTCCGCTTCTGTGCAGCTAGTGTGGAAATAGAGACTAGTGCATTTTGCTGACTTATTAACAAGTGTGGATAACACCATTAAGTTCTCCTCCTAGTCACAGCCATTTGTAACTGAGTAAAGATATCAGTTTTGGGAATTTGGGACGTGGTGGCACTGTGGGCTAAACCACAGAAGCCTCAGTGCTGCAGGGTCAGAAGAGCAGCAGTCGTAAGATCAAATCCATGTGATGGAGTAAGCTCCCGTCGCTTGTCCCAGCTCCTGCCAACCTAGCAGTTTGAAAGCATGCAAATGCGAGTAGATAAATAGGTACCATCTCCATGGGAAGGTAAAACGGCGTTCCCTAGTCATGCTGGCCACGTGACAACGGAAACTCTTCGGACAAGCGCTGGCTCTGCGGCTTGAAAAACAGGATGAGCACCGCCCCCTAGAGTCAGACACGACTGGACTAAAAATGTGAAGGGGAACCTTTACCTTTACCTAAAGATATCAAAGTCAGTTACTGTGGTGGCTATACGTTGGACCAATCTGTAATGGTACAATGTATGGGAGATGTACATAATTGATTCCCATCCCCAGCAGCAGAAAGTAGACTCCTTTGTAGCAGGTGGGTGTGATACTTCAGCACACTATTTTTAAGATTTAAGACTTCAATTCTATGTTTTGTCCGGGGACTGCTAGAGCCTGCAACTGTTGTGTGTATTATGTACCATGTAGTCAGAATTGACTTATAGCAACCCTAATAGGGCCTTCAAGGTGAGTTATGTAAGCAGTAGTTTTGCCACTTAAAGCCACCCTCCCGAGATTCCATGGCTGAGTGGGGATTCAAACCCAGATTTCCTGAGTCCATCCCTGCATCCATTACATCACATTGGGTATCTTCTGCCATTGTTAGGCTTGTTTCGACATCGTGTTCCTCAAGCCAGCGACCTGGTACACAATTCAAGCTGTTAATGGCAATGGTGTATGACTGCAAGAGTTATTGTGAATTCTGTAGCTGTAGGGAGCCTTTCGGGTTATAGCCTGACAAAGACTAAAACTGATCACCAATTTGAAGAAACTGCCCAGCTCCCAAATGGCAAAAAGTAATTTTCTGAGCTGTATAGAGCAAGAACCTTTAAAGTGCGTAAATCTGCTTTAGTTCTCTTTAGGTCACTGTAATAGCCTTCTTCAGCAAAAGGCCAGATAAACAAACAAGCCTGTTAAAGAGACAGATGCCTTATGCTTGAGTGCTGGTTCGAGACAGACAGATGGCTGTTCCGCAGATTAAGTGACAGCACACCCACTCTTCTTTATGGTTGCTTCTGCTCTAATCACAATCTGTAAATGAGGCTGAACCAAGTCTTAGGAATGTTGGAACATGGACTTTTGGCATCCACGCTTACATCAGCTGTGCCTGCACAATCCTTCGAACTTGAAACTGAGAGGCAGGGAGTACTTTAGCAGTGTTGAACTATTCCTGCTTTTAAAGCCAGCATGGTGCACAATCCTGTATCCCAGTTTCCAGGAAAACCCCAATGTGGGGAAAAATGTTTTTTAACTCCTGATGTTTTGGTTGACAGCTCCCTTCAGGTCTGTGCAGCACAGCCTACTGTATGGTATGAGATCATACGACCTATGCAGAGCATCTGGAGGTCCAAAGGTTCTACGTTCTTGAGTTGATGTATAAGTGATTCATAACAAAGATTATGTGTCAATGACCATGGATCTACGAGCAGCCAATTTATCTTGAACTCCAGGATCTGAAAGGTCTGCAGAGCCGTAAGAACTTTAGCAGGTTCAAAACTTGGCAGCCAGATTGCTGGCCGGGGCTGTTTAAGGGGATTACACAACTCCTCTCTCCACTGGCTGTTGATCCATTCCCAGACACAATTCAAAGTGCTGGTTCTAACCTAAAAATCCCTAAATGGCTTGGGTCCAAGCTAGCTCAAGGACCACATATCCCATTATGAGTCTGCTCAGATGTCAAGATCATCAGTAGAGACCGTTTTCCTCAGTCCCATCACCTTCACAGGTGTGTTGGTGGGGACATGGTAAAGGGTCTTTTTCTGTTGCTCTTCCCAGACTTTGGAACTCCCTCCCACAGGAGGCCAGGCTGGCCCCATCTTTACTGTCTTTCAACAAGCAGGCAAAGACCTTTCCAGTCAAGCAAGCTTTCTTTGGTGCTTGAGTGGGATTTTTAAATGGATTGTTATGCCTTTACTGCTTTGAACGTTTTCTTAGTATTGATTTTGTTTACCATTTCTCAGAGTGGTATTTGTTTGATCCATTTTAGTATTTGTACATTTACTGTTTTCAGCTTTAAATATTGTGTTTTAATGATCCAAGCCACCTTTGATTAGTCATTGTTTTTAGCTTTAAATATTGCCTTTTAATTATGTAATTAATTAAGCTGTCTTTGGTCCTTTTTAAGGAGGAAGGCAGGGTAAAAATATTTTAAATAAATAAACTTGCAAAGAAGTTCTCAGACCAAAGGTTAGTGGCCAGTGGCAAAAGAGGACCAGGGCTCTAGCAGCATAGTAGAGTCAGATAAATTAGCTCACCCTCTTTTACATCTGGTTTATCTGAGACATCATTTCATTCATGTTATGCCATTTGTCATTTAAACTGCTACTGGGTCTTTTGTTATGTTCACATTAAATTTTGATAAAAATTCAAACTGTTCAAAGCTTAACATGTGAAAAGTGTAGATCCAGTTCAGATTTGCTGTGGCTTTTGCCTAGTGGAAGGATCCATTCCTAATGAAGCCAGATGGAAAAGAACCCAGGGCTTCTGCATCTTTTAAGAGATATGCAGAAAAAGACATCTCAGTGGGTGTAGATTTTTGGTGTGTATTTGGCTATCCTGATTATTCTCAATTGCATGCTTCTTTGCAGCTTACCCATGGGATAAGTCATGCTTGAAATCTATGCCTTTTGACCTGAAACAGTTTGAGAAATTGGATGCTTACACAAAAAAGGTAATAAAAAAAGAAGAAGAAGAAAGAAAAAAAGAATCATGAAAGTAATTATATCATGAGCTCAAAATGAGCTTCCGCTGCTTCTGGGACTCCTGCTCCTGTTGTTATTTCTTCCACTGCATGGTGTTGATTTATTTGCCTGAAAAATAAGACTATTTGGAAGAAGGAATTCTGACAATTGACATTCAACGTAATTTTACAACGCATTGGGAATCTGGGAAATTCCTTGTGGTCTGAATGCAAATCAGACTCTGTAATCGCCAACTTTTTATTACCTCTGACAAGTTCAAAAATGCAATTTGCTGATGTCTGATAGCTGAAGACTCTCCTGCTGATTTGATACCTTCAGATAACCTGGTCCTTTTGGAATGCATAACCCAATTAATCCAACTCTGAGCTCCATCTGTTGCTTATTAGTTTCTACCCTGAGCATATTCTCCTATGGGGCCTCATAGGCTGCTCATATACAGCCCCATAGTGCTTTAAGCTCGAACCCTGGGTCATGAGCACAGTTTTGGCTGCAGCACAGCAGTTTAACTACTGTACCATGAGGCTCAGTACAAACCAAAATCACTTATAATTCTAAATCTGAATTGGAAGTCAAGTGAAAACTGGATTTCCACAGAGCTACAAGCTTTTCAAAGGACATATTGTAATGCAATCCTATGGATGTCAGTTTAAAAGTAAATTGGAGATTGCCCAGTAGTTGCTCTCCTTAATATACATGGCATGGATATGGGAAGTCACATGGTATTAAACTCTGCCACCAACCGAGGAACCATGTGAGATTGAAATAAGCCATGCTGTCAGGAGAGACCAAAGGACATCAAATGAAATGTCATGTGGATGGTAAGAAAAAAGCACACATAAAATCAGTATACCCACCCTTGAATTCTTTATGAATTCCTCTGTTGTTTTTTCTCAGAAAGAATTTCCCGATGTGCTTCATGAACTGCTTTCATAAAAGCTGCTAACAACCCAAAGAGTTGCTTAACTCACTTCAAATTTAATGAATTGTATCAACCTTTTTTTTTCCTTTGCTTCCTGCACAATTCCTTAGATGTTCACTTTGGGAAGAATTCCAAAATGTGTTCTTCAGTTTGCTTTTGGCAGAATGTCACTGGCAACTTCTGTCTTAAACAACTTCTTAAATATTTCATACAAAGACAGTAACAGTCAAGAGTAACTTTCTCTCTGGAGCGGTGGCTTCCAGAGCCTTGGAAAAAAAACACTTGATTGGCTGGCAGAGAAAATTATATGATAGTAAAATCTAATCCTTGGCCTGAGGGTTGAGTATATCTGGTTAACAACAGTTATACCATGTGAAGGGAATCAGCTTAAATAGAATCTCATTATAGCTAGTTAGTGCTTGCACATACCCAAAGAGCACAGACATAATAGGAAAGAGTAACCTTACCCAACAGTGCATTTGAAGCTTGCAAAGGGCTTACTTGTTTTATAAGACTCAGTATCTGCCAAAAACAGCATTGTGGGGGGTAAGGAAAACCTTTCTCTGAGTACCTTATGCCAGTCTTCCTCAACATGGTGCCATCCAGATGTTTTGGACTTCTTCACTGCTGGCCATGTTAGCAGATGAAAAACATCTGGAGGGTTCTAGGTCAAGTAAAAGTGTGTGATGTCACACTGGATGCTACTGAAACTTTACTGAGCAACTATAAGCCAGGATGGACAACAACACACGGCCTTGAACCTCATGTACCCTGCCCTATTTTCTGCAGCCCTTGCTATTCTTTGTCACTCAATTGTGGCTCTGTGGTGATGCCAGCAGCAAAAAGAACAGTCATCCTGCAGAAAAGAAGCTACAGTACTACTGAGCTGTGTAACTACAACAGCAACAGAACAGCAATTAAGTTATTTAAACACGGTGTATGGAGAGTGTTTGACTTGTTTCAAAGGATCTTTGGCCCTGCAGCAGCTTGTTTCTAAATGAAAAATACTGGTTTTGCTGCTATTTCAGTGGCAGTAGCATGCTCATTCAAGGGGCCCTACCCCTGAGGTGGTCTACCCCAATGCATGTTAATTTGTATTATGGGAAGCAAACCAATGAAAAACACAAGTGATGGAAAGGGAAAAAGATGCCCAAACTCCTCTGACTTTAATAGGGAGGCCACAGAGACAACTTGGTTGAAGAGTGCTGTCTAATTAAAACCAGAAATCTGTTCACGTCTTCTAATACAGGTGACTGCCAAGAACAGTGTAGAGGAACTTGTGAAAACATTACTCCGTGTAACACATACAGACCTGGAAAAGGTGAGAGCCATTTGGACATGGATTTGCCACCATATAGGTAAGCAGAGAATTCTGCAACTTTCTTGAATCTGTGTTGAACTATAGTGCGCCTTGTACTGTGTTTCTAAGACTCCAGTTTTATTTTATGTGCTATGTCAGCAACATAAGGACAGAGCATGTGAAGAAAAGAGCATGCTGAGAAGTTTTTTTTTTTCTGTGAGAAATAAAGAGTAAGGCCTAAATATGATTGGTAGCCTCACCGTCTCGTAGGGTTACCAAGTCTCAGGATGATAGCTGCAGTCTCAAAGAATCAATATGCTTCCTCAGATCTCCCTCCATGCAGGAAAAGAAACTGGGTGATTACAGCTGCTTCACCAAAAAGGAGTACATGTTGCACTGAATTTGCATAAATAAATTTAAGCTGACACATTCAAATATAGTCATGATTATATGTATTCAATTGTATTCAAATGTATTCAAGTACTCCAAATGCACCAATTTAAGTAGAAGGTCACCAAATATGGAAGACTAGGAGATGACCAAGCGACATTGGTACCTTCTGTCTGTGCTATCGAGCCAGCTGTTGCTAATGAGGATCTTTTCAAGGGCCCTGCTCTCCCCACTAGTGACACATTAACTTTCATTCACCCCAGATAGCCTCCCGTGAACCAATGCATGAACTGAAATCCAGTCCTCCATTGGCATTTACAGTGTTCAACATTTTGTTATGCACTTCTGCCACCGAAAAACATGCACTCAAGAATATAATACACAAAACACAATGACTAGAATCTTATTAGTGTTCGCATAAGCTTTGCCTAACTTATCATGACTAATTGCACCCAACTGATAAATTGGGCTTGGTCATACGTTTGATTGTGCAATTAAGATGCACCCTGGGTACCTCATCACTTAGCTGGAATCAGCAAATCTCACACAAATCTTGTGTGAACATCAATTAGTTATTGGCTATTTTCAATTTGTAGAAATTCATATGAAATGTAAAGCAATGCAGAAATTATAGAAAACATAATTAAGACTGGAGAAACTGGAGAAACCAAAATTGGTAGATCTGTCCACCCCTAAAGTATTCTAAGGCCTTAAAAGCAAATATAACAGTAACATCCAGTACTCCCGTTAGTATGTGTGAATAGTTTCTAGGTATGTACGGTCTGCTGGATTCTAACAGGTAAAGATATCCCTTTAGCACAGTTAATGTTGTTAATTTTCCATTTCTTTCCTTTACACCTGTCTCTGAACATTCACTTTTGTTCCTCCAGAATATGATATTGTAGGTTTCTATAACAAAGACAAGCAGTCTTTCAAGCCCAAAGATGTCCTTCAGAGTGGAAAGACCATTTGTGAGGGGTATGCCGGACTTTTTGAACAAATGTGCAGGTACATCGTGTTCAGAAATATTCAAAGATTAAGTTGACCCATCGCCTGTGTACCAGTTCTGCCTCTGCTTACACCAGCCAGCATGTGAAACATCATTTTGAAGCTGTGCTGTGGAACAGCAGCAAGTCCTCAAAAGGTCAATTTTGCTCCCCTCCCCCCATAATTTACTTTGCGCCATCTGCTGAGGCTCTCATTGCATTAACATAATGGCAGATGAGTACATGGGGATAATTTAGTTAGAGGAGGCTCTATGCTTTTGCCGGGAGTATCTGAAGGTTAAAAGAACAACAGGCCTGAAGAGTACACTCGGCCCCGTGCTATCCCTATCCCACCTGCGAAACACTTTAGGAAGGACCCCACACTGTGCATGGCTACATTCTCTGCAAATGCCCCTGACAGCTAGAACACCACTTTGCTGCTTTATCAGATACATGGCTGGGATTTGTCTGTGCACATATCCTTCACTGCTAAGGAAGTAATGCTGACTCATCCATTGTGGGTGTTCTAGAAGAAGTAGCCAGGCTCCTCTGTGCTAACATGTCAGGCAAAAACAAAATAAAGAAAACAAAAATGTTGTGATATCTTAAAGACTAACTGTTATATTTTAATGTGAGCTTTCGTGGACAAATCCACTTCCTCAGACGTTTTGTTTTCACTTCCATACAATATTTCTCACCTCACAGAAAAAGGGTATCTTGAAGCATCAAGACAACCCATTGAAAAAATGGGCATCCATTGTGAGATTTTCACCCTTTCACAAGAGCAAAAAGACCAGCACTTTTTAGTCAGTAGCAGCATTAATGGGAGGGTTGGCTTCTATGTTTTGCACATTAAAAAACCTTATATGGGGAGGGCAACTGCAAAAAAGGCACAAAAACTGTTGTAATCTTGCCCAGTGAAGGAAAACCTTGCTGCAATTTTCCATTTGCATTTGCAAGATTTCCTGTACATTCCCACATCACTGCTCATGATAGTGGGCATCCAGCCAATCCTGTCCAAAGTAAGACTAACCTATAAGTTTTGCTTTAAAAAATGAAATACAACTGGTATTGGGGTAGAAACCCCTGCTTTTTGTGTTTGGAATGAGTCAGGCCTTCATTAAGTCCAGAGTCGAGCCTTCTTCCAATATAAACTTTAGCTATTGAAAATCTATATATCCTTAATAACTGACATTTGCAGTCAGCAAAGAGTTCTGTGTTGTTGTTTTTAAAATTGTTCCTCTGGGAACTGCTGTCACCCATGCAAAGTAAACAGTAACATTAGTCATAGGTACAATTTTAAGAATAATATTTATCTGCTGAGCCAGTCTTGGAAGGCAATGGATTAGTTGCAGCAGACTGAGGAGACACCCTGGGATTTTTGTTTTGTTGAAATTCCAGTATGTTTGGTCAATCTACTGTATCTACTGTATTTGTTTGATAGGATGTGGATACAGTCCCTTCTACACATTCTGCCACAGTTATTAATGTACAGCTATGGTAGAATCAGACAAAAGTCTTGCCATGTAATGCTGGTAAACACTGAAAATGGAAGAGCATATAAAACTGAGAGATTTAGGCTGGAGATGGGTTCCTTCTCCTCAGCCTGGCCCCCTTTAATAGGAGGGCAATGCAAAAGATGTGTCCCACAAGATAAGAGCCTAGGAGACAGCGAATCTCCAGACCCCTAGCCAATAGGGATATTACACCACAGGTGGAGGAAAGGCCACCAACCTGATGTGGGACAGCTAGAGGGGGGCACAATGATGGGAATTAGAGGGTTGGAGTTGCAGAGTTAAAGGTCATTGTCAACCACATTGAATGAAGGGAGGGCAATCGAGCACTGGGACTCCATCTTCTGTGCCTCTGCAGAAGTGTAAACAGGAATAGAGGACAAGTGGATCCACCTCCTTCCACTCAACCCATTTGGCTGGGGAAAGGTTTGGGGATCTGAGGCTCTGGCAATGCAGCCCCCAGCTGATCCAGCACCACCCCAACCTTGATGTCCTCACTGCCTGACAGGAGCTGTGACTCCTAACCAATCCCACCTTAGAGATTACTGGAGATGCAAGCAGCAACAATCTTGGCAAAGGAGGCTCTAGGGGGAGGACCACCAGGGAACCCAGCCCTCATCGCCTGCCTTTACCATTCCTCCCTGGAAGGGCTGTATCCCAGATCAGCACTCATATTTCTTACCTGCTTCTCTAGACCTGAACTTTCAGAGACCCCAGTGAAGTCAACTGGGACCTCAGTGCCCAGGGAGTTAACCCTGGAAAACTTAAAAAAAGGAATGTCCACTGATGGTATGCTCCTTGGGCTCAATCTTGGTGACTGCCCAGATAATGCATAGGGACAGCTGGGCTGGGAAGTAGATCTGTGGGTGAATACAGTGAGGAAGATGGCGACGGTGGATATAGGTGGTGGGTGGGTTTTAGTCAGGGAACTCAAAAGGGGAAATCTCTCTAGAGGTGTTGTTGCTAAAACGTGTACATAGAGATGTTACAGCCAAGCAGTCGTAAGATCGAATCCATGCGACGGAGTGAGCTCCCGTCGCTTGTCCCAGCTCCCGCCAACCTAGCGGTTCGAAACCATGCAAATGCAAGTAGATAAACAGGGACCACTTCGGTGGGAAGGTAACAGCGTTCCGTGTCTAAGTCGCACTGGCCATGTGACCACGGAAGATTGTCTTCGGACAAAACGCTGGCTCTATGGCTTGGAAACGGGGATGAGCACCGCCCCCTAGAGTCGAATACGACTGACTAAATTGTCAAGGGGGACCTTTACCTTTACCTTTTTAGAGATGTTAAGCCAGATGTGACTTGTTGGGCCAGGGCGCTGGTTGCTAAGCATACTAAGCAGATAAGGCTGGGTATTGCACCCTCTTTAATGAAGAACTGGATTTTCAAAGACCCCAACTGTGCCCAGGTGGTTAGTCCCAGAAACCCAGCCCTCTAGGAATGAGGGAGGGGTAAATGAGGATGAATCTGTGCCTTTAATAAAAGCTGTTGTGATGAAATCAAGCTGGGAGCCATGAAATTATTCCTTGAGTGCTCCTCAGCCTGAAGGCTCCTCATCTGGGGAGAGGGGGCAGTAGGACTCGCAGAGCCTTATGACACCACATGGCCAACTCTAGCTATCTACCTCAGCATTCTCTACAGATCCATGACCGCCTGTGGCTATATTGCAAAGCCCCCAAAAACAAGTATCTTCAAGCAGCAACATATCGGTGCTGCAAATTTAGGGGGAAATGCTCATTTGGGGTCAGATGGAAGCTTTTTTCACCACTCACAAGTCTAGATTCTCTTTGAATATGGTTTAATATACCAACACTAGTTACATTTTCATGAAGGCAAAATGCTCGTGTCAAATACATAATCAGTAAGGCATGAGTGAAAAGGTGATATTTTCCTAGGTTTGTGACTACTCTGAAGGCATTCACAATCGAACACTATCATTCAGGATCAAAAGCTCTGATGACTTTTACATATGATGACTGTAAAATAAAACTATACGGTGGCCTGCCAAGAGCAGGCTGGCAATACTAATTACCTATAATTTGTGCTTTCATTATCAGTGATAAATTTCAGGTAGCAAACAGGTTCTCCACTCACTCTTTATTTTATCCTTTTAGCCTAAATCCAATTACTAGTCCCTATCATTGGATCAATTGCTAAATGGCAAATCAACACTTATGTAAATCCCATTGGTTCAGGGGGTCTGTTCCAGTTGGGAATAGCAATTGAGTTTTAGGTCATACTTTACACGAAGTTAAAGAGCAGGTAGAATGCAGATCTAGATCTACTGATGGATCACTATGAGATATTGTGTAGATTAACAAGAACTTCCAACTCTCAAATATAACAACAGTATGACTTTTTCTGTCTAAAGCTGCTGAAATGAACGATGCCTGAGATAACCAACAATGGCTTTTTTTCTGTTTTGTTTTGCTGAAATGGCTCTGAGTTTAGTTCAGTTCTGGCATGGATAACAAATTCCTAGGATCTGAATATACTCAAAGGCACCCTGTTATTTCAAATACATGTCTCTTGCATTTAGCTGTGCTTGCTGGATCGTGGGATTTTAGGCAGAGGAAACCAAGTCTGCAATTTGCTACTTGATCTGGACAGCTGTTATACTCTTCCTTAAGCCATCCAAAACAGTGATAGTGGAGGAAGTGCATAGGGCTGGGGAACATGTACTCCTCCAGATGTTGTTGGACTATAACCCCAATCCACTCTGTCCAGCACAGCTGGGGGGAGACTCAGCTAGAAAGTCAAGAGTTCCCCCTTCCTTGAATGTGGAAAGCCACACGTTTCCAGTGATAAACTAACACTGCAAGTCTAATACGTTTTAGGGACAAGGATTTTCAGGGTTGGCTGGGCCTCTCATACCTAAGATTTCCACATCCTGTTACACGTTCTGATGTGCACATTTGAGTGGAGTCCAAGAGCAATGAGACAGGTGGTGGTGTTTCTGCTCTGACAGCTGCTTGACTTGGCAATTCTGCCAAGGATCTGACTACATTCAGGAGATGAAGGACATTCATAGAGGATAATAAAATCTCTGAAAGAACTCAACACTGGCAATCACCACTACCACCCCTTTTGCCCCCATCATTTTAAAAGACAAAAATAGACTTGGAAACAAATGGGGTTGACAAGACACCATCACTCCCCATTGTTGATGTCAATATTATTATCGCCCACCACCCCATCTCATTACAATACATTTTTTTTAAAAAAACACAGTGGAGCTGCCAGTTTGGCTTACACGGGCAAGAGCTGATCAGAATTCCAGAGCTTCGCTGACTTGGGCAGCTGTCTGAGTTGGCAACCCCACAATTTGCAACAGCAAAGTTAATTGACTAAGGGCAGCTCTGGCTGGCGAACCAAACTCCCACTTGGCAGCAGAAAATGGCAAGAGGCAAGAATGTTTATATTTCAGTAGTTTAATCAGAGATTGTTGCACTGACCTAGTCATATAAATTATGAGAAGGAACTGGGCTGGACTAGTTCCTTATAGGATGGAACTAGCCCTGCAACCAAGTGGCCACTTTCTTCTTTCATTAATTACATAGACTTGCCTTCTCTCCAGCCACGCACTTGATCGAACAAAGTTCTCCCAATTTTTCATAGGTCTGGCTGAAATCATTCTTTTCCCTCACGCACTTCCCCCAGCACTCTGTGTTTTTGTTCTTTTTCTCTCGACTTTATTCACACTGAAGTAACCAAATCTGCCTACCGTATTGAAGAGAAGGTCATGCCATTCACGTAATACCATTCTAATTTACAACGTTTTGCAGGCTATTTTCTATTTCCCTTTGGAACATGGGCTAACATCTTATTTGCTTTTAATCATCTCCGTGCATTGAGCAGATGCTTTCCCTGAACTGTCTGCAATGATTATATCAGTGTCTGCAATCAATTCCAATTGTTTCTTTCAATCCATGTTGCCACAAATTTAATTTTATCTACCATCACGCTATTCAAGCTACTGGCTTGGTTAAGCATTGAGGCAGCGTTTCATGTCCCTCTGCTAGGCACTTGCTTTTTATTGATGAAGTGTTACTGGTTAGACGATCTTTATACTACTACGCAGAATGGGCTGTGATGATGATGATTGACTGATTTATATTCTGCCCTTTTGTAATTTATTTATTTGCTTGCTTGCTTGCTTGCCTTAATATGCTGCCTTTCTGCCAGCTCTAGGCCTTTTTTCCAGAACTGGAATCCAAGGCAGCTCACAACAAAATTAACAGATACAGATAAAAATATAGAAGAGCAGGTACAGGTAAAAATATGCAAAAGGTTATCATGTTAAAATACGATTACCCAAGGTGTAACACTACTGAATAAAAAGGCTGCTGTATTAAAAGTCACTTTAAATGGCTTTATATGGCTTTTAAAAAAAGAGCACAGCACCAATCTGTTAAAAGCCCTTCTCTCAGCAGCTAGTTAATCATCATGGCCTACCAAGTTATATAATATAAACGAGAGAAAAATAAAATGGAATCTAAAACAGATCACTTTTTACCAAAAAAAAAATAATCACACCAATGTAAGGCAATGAGACCCACAAGGAACTGTTGCCATATGCAGTGCTCTTATTTACTGTGCCTGCCTACCATGCCCTTTCCCCCAATACTGTACTCCATTCCATTCCATTCCCCATCCTTGTCTCCCTCCAGCAGTCAGACAGTATCCCAGCCATTCCCCATCCTTGTCTCCCTCCAGCAGGGAGGAGATGAAGGACATTCATAGAGGACAAGAAGGACACTGGGTCCTGAGTGGGCTGTTTTGGTGTCCTCCTCTCACCTTTTTTTTTGGCCCCTAAAGACTCCTGAGAACATCAGGGTTCCCTTAAGCATCGTAATATTTCTGTCTTGAGCAGGCAGTGAAGTGGGCAGGAACCTGTTCCAAATCCTGGATGTCACTCAGATATGTCACTCTTTCCAGCGACTATATGCTTTATCTCAGAAGGAGCTGGAACACAAAGCAAGACCTCTGATTTATAGAAAAGGCATGCTCATATGGAGAAAGGCAGCTCTTGAAATACAGTGGTGCCTCGCATAGCGAGGTTAATCCGTTCCGGATTAACCTTCGCTATGCTGAAGCATCGCTGAACGGGGCAGCGATTTCCATTGGAACGCATTAAACGCCGATCATTTCCCTGATCGGCGGGGGGCGTTTTGCGAAGATCGGTAAGCGAAACGCTTACCGGTCTTCGCAAAGCGAATTTTTCCCTATAGGAAAAACGTTGTGCGATCGCATTAGCGATCCGAAAAAACGGATCGCTATGCGATTTAATCGTTATACGGTGCGCTCGTTAAGCGAGGCACCACTGTATACTGGAGTCAAATCTTGGAAGTCTTTAAAATGGGGTGAGCCAGTGTGGGCTCTCCATACATTTCTGCACCGACTGCTCCCACAGTCCTTCACCAGTGGCTGTGCTGTCTAGAGCTAAAAGGGGATTGCATGCTAACAACATCTGAATGGCCACAATTGCTGACTCCTGATTTATTTATTTATACTTATTTATTTATTAGATTTTTACCCCGCCTCTGTAGACAAGCTACTCAGGGCAGCTTACATAGATAAATACACATCAATATAACATATATAAAATCATAAAGAATACAATTATAGTGATTAATTCCAAATAATACATTATCAAGATGGCAAAAAAAAAATAGAAGTCACTTAATTGACTGGAGGGAAGGCCTGCTCGAATAGCCAAGTTTTTAACTGGCTTTTGAAGACACCCAGCGAGGGTGCCAGCCGAATTTCGGTTGGGAGAGTGTTCCACAGCCGAGGGGCCACCGCCGAGAAGGCCCGGTTTCTTGTTTTTTCCTTCCGGGCCTCCCTTGGCATCAGGCCCCTCAGCCGTCCCTGCTGGCTATATCGGGTGTTTCGGGTAGATCTAGGTGGAAGAAGACGATCTGCCAAATAGTGAGGTCCCAAACCGTTTAGGGCTTTATATGTAATCATTAACACTTTGAAGTCAATGCGGAAACGGATGGGCAACCAGTGCAAGGCAGCCAGAGTGGGGGAGATTTAAAAGACCCAAGCCAAAATGTAAATTAAACCTGGAGGAAATTTGGGGGTAAAGGAAGCTGAAGGAAAGTTATAATATGCACTGAATGGACAGCTCCCATTAAAAGCCTCACAACCACATTCCAGACTACATATAGCTGCCAGACTGTCTTCATGGGCAGGCCCCGTGAACACATTACTGTAATCTAACTCGAACAAGACACTCAAACAGAACATCTTTACTTGCTACATTTCTATGATTTCCTCAGGGCGTAACAGGATTAGAGTCCATTCACAGCTACACGTGAGCAGTGGGACTAACTGACAGAGCTTATGAACAGAGGAGCTGAATGATTATAGAGAGAGCCATCTTCGATAACATCCCCCTTAATGTGGTTTAGGGATAGGAAGGAAAAACAGCCCAAGTGAGAAATACAGCATTACTGACTGACAGGTAAAGACTTACAGGGAAGTTATTCAAGGGAACAGACATATTGACAGTTTCAATGTGAAAAGAGGAATGCCAGACCGCTTCTGCAGAATCCCTTTTAAAAAAGGCTTGGGCTAGAAACTAAAGATGTATAGCCCTTGCTATAGAGGATCAAGTACAAAATAGTTTGCAGCCTATTGATGAACACTCTGGTCCCAACATTACATCCTATATAAGACACGTCAGTAAGAAGGGGGGAAATGACTGATGCATATTTAATATTAGTAATATACAAAGATAATAAATAATGTAGAAAAATAACCATGTTTTTGGAAGTGAATTGTAGAAGTCTCTTAAGATGAGTATGAAAAATATTTTAAAATGTCTGGGGTTTTTTTTAATGAAAAAAGCAAGCAAGCAACATTTCATTCTTTTGTCCCTCTCAGCATTGCAGGAGTGCAGTGTATGAATTTGTCTGGTTATTGCAAAGGCCATGGCTACAGGGCTGGGCAGACCTTTACAGGAGACTATGACCATGCTTGGAATGCTGTTTACCTTGATGGACGGTGGCATCTGGTGGACAGCACATGGGGGAGTGGCTCCATTGATGACTGTTTCAGCAAATTTACTTTCAGGTACAGTTTTATCACCACCAGCACCACCATACAGGGCATGAAAAGAAGGTATTTTGTTTGACTTCTTATCCTCCCAAGATACAATGGCCACAGCCCTATTCGGATTTGTGTAAGGTTTGCATAACTTGCTGCAGCTAATTATGACTAATCAATGAAGTGTTTGGGGTGCATCTCAGTTGCATGCCTAGTCACATAACCCAGTGGCACAAACAAAATATTCCCTGGCACTTCAACAATTAGCCACAGTTAACTGCAATAAGTTACTCAAGCCATGTGCAAACAGCAATAGGACTCCAGCCAACATTATTTGCTCACTTTTTTAATTTAAAAAGCTAGATTTCAGATTTTAAAACATACTGAAGCATTGTGCACTGAAGTTCTTATGAACTGAAATCATCATAACAGCCAATTACCCCACTCTTTCATGTTTTGTATCTTGAAGATTTCAGGGGAAAACAGCAAAGAGCCTTTTCCCCACCCCAAAAGAGAATTGGTCCCACAGAAAGTGGGTTCCCTCCCACACTTTTCTTGATACCATTGCCATGGATATTTCTCAAGCTTTCATTTGCTTTCCTAGCAATGCAGAGTTGTGACTAGCAGTCTTGGCACCTGGAACATCACTGTCCCATTGGTTAAGCTCAGATCATAAGAGAGTGGCACCTGTGGGGAACTGATGGCAAAATGGAGAGGAAAATATGTGCAGTGGCCTGCCCATCTTTTCTTCTGTATGAGGAGGACCAGCAGGACGCAGTCTATGTGTTTCTGAAGGTGGTTTCACAGTCTTCCATCAGTACATTTTTGTACCTTCTAAGGTTTGGTACCATATGTCAGAGCTCTGATAGGCCTGCTCTGGTTTAGAGATGGGCACAAAGCACTTTGTGCTGAATTGTCTTACGTCATCAGCATGGCACCAAAGGTGCCACACATTCTCTTCTCCCCCCTCTGCCAGCTCCCCCACTTACCATCCAGTGTGTGCTGCTCATTCCCTCCCCATCACACAATCTCCCAGTTCTGGCAGGAGCACAGACTTCATTTTTCTGCCTCCTCTAGCAGCCGTCCACTCAGATGAAGAGGCGGGGCAGGGATTCCTGCAGCATTGCCTGTGAGCAGTGGGCAGCTGCCGGAGGATGCACAGAAGGGAAGTCCATGCTCCTGCCAGGACTGGAAGATCATGTGATGGAAAGGGAATAAGCAGCGCATGCTGGCTAGTGAGTGGGGGAGTTGTTGGGGGGAAGGGAATGAAAAGAACCCACATGAAGTGCTTCGTACCCATCTCTACTCTGGTTACAACTCTGTAGAAATAAGACGGTTGAAAAGTTTTAGCTATTACTGAAAATTATTTTACAGAGCATGCTGGTGATCATTTATTGCTCAAGACAATGCATCATTTATATATGATAACATCCCTGAAATATGCAGGGAATATACTAACATGATTTTCCTCAGTCACACAATGTGCTAAGCAACTTCTCTACCTATGATCTGCATTTTAAAAACGTCATGTATATTTTTGTGTATAATTAGTTGAATTTAGCACTCTTACAGCCTCCACCCAGTGTTTGTTTTTTAGACCAAGGTTTTTAGCCCTAAAGGGGGGGGGGGAAGTAGGCTTGACAGCATGGACAGCACTTAGTAAAATCTGAGAAGTCAGCAAGGATGAAAACTGAAGTGTCCTGTGAAATTCCACCTGCTACTACTAATGCAGAATTTGAATTATACAAAATGAATCAGAAAGTTTGAGCAAATTTACTTCCTTAGCATCATAAAGTTCCCACATTTGGATTCACTAGCACAAGTGATTTTTGAGATATAATTCTGTCCAGATTGGAGTCTTTAGACTACAGTAACATTACCTAAGTAATGTTCCTAGTGTTACCTTGCTATTCTGTATTATTCATTTGGAAACCCCATAGAATGTGATGGCATATAACAAGACTTCAAAAGTAACTGCATTGTAAGCCCATACCTCATTCAATCCTCTGCCTTGAAATCCTAGAAAATTATGCCATGTTCCAATATCTTGCTGATCTCATGTCTCAAATCAGCTGCACTACAGAACATATTAGTCATACTGGGATATTTTTCTGGACCGACTCAGTACACTATCAGGGACAGCAAGGACAAACAGATTAACTCCAATCCCATATCCCTTACTCACAATAGTGTGCAAACCTCAGATCTTGCTTTCTAGAACCCCCACTGTGATTTTTATCAGCCAGTCCTAATTTTGTATATTTAGAAGAAGTCTCCAAAGATTCTGGTGAGACTAAGTATGCCCAGGTTTCCAGCCTCCTCATTAGCTTTGGTATGAGGCTGAAACTCTGAGAATCATCTGTATTGCTAGTGACGTACTAATTTCTCCCTTCTTGTTCCAGATACAACGAATTTTACTTCCTCACTCACCCTGCCCTCTTTATAAATAATCATTTTCCAGACAACAGCAACTGGCAGCTTCTCAAACCAACTGTGACACTGAAACAGTTTGAGAGCAACATGCTATACAAGAGTGACTTTTACAAAATGGGATTGCTGGCAGCCCATCCGGAAACACCAATTATTCAAACAGGTACTGTCATACAGCCTCCTGCCACATGCCAATATTATCATAAGGAACAGTTCCAGTGTTGGGGCAGGAAAAAAAAATTAAGACAGCCAAGTTTAGGAATTTGGCTGGCGCTTTATTACTTTTCAAATATTAGCTCTATGGTAGTTCTGTGCTACTGCTCATGTTTCAGACCTACAATATGCAAAATCCAGAGTATTGCTAAATTATCAGATTGCATCAGTCCCTAACATTTTTATATTCGTTTGAAATGAATGCAAAAAATTGTTCGGAAACGGGTGTGAGGAGTATGTGATTGACTATCGTATGTGAGTATACAAAGTACACTGGGTTTCTGAAGCTCCCAGCTACTCTCTTCAGAGTCGTGCAGAGCCTAACAGTAGAACGAAGCACCTCATTTTGGAATCCTGTCTTTTGAACTCTGAGCTTTCTTTGAACACTGACAGCTTCTAAGGCAATGTAGTCAAAAGTGCAGGCAGCTTGAGCTGTATCTGAAAGCCATGTGTGCTTTCATCTTTTCCCAGAATGATGAGCAGTCCTATTGCATTCATAATAAAATAGAAGCAAACAAGTATCCCAAACTGAAACCTCCCCACCCTTCAACCTACTTGTTATTTATTCTGAATTTAGAGCTGACAGAAGCCTGACAAATTCTAACCAGCCAACCATAATATTCTCCCTTTCACTGCCAAAATGATTGACAATACAGCAGGATATTCAATTCTTCAGGTCATTTTCTACAGGGCTTTTGATTGATTTGTGCTTTTGAGTAAATAGGAGGAAACATCCTAACCAGCCTTCTTTATTTGCATGTCACAGTAAATGGAAAAGTAGCAGTAATGGTGGAGAGCCGTTCCCCAATGCTGTTCATGTTTGAATTGAAAGGGGCAAAGGAATATAGTTTGATGACTTTGAAGAGGAGCGGAATGAATCTGGAGCTTTATCCACAGAAGACAGGGAGTCACAAGTTACAGATCTACGCCAAGCCATCCAAAGGCTCAGAGGAAGTCTACAATTTTGTGCTGGAATACATTGTAGAGTGCGCTTCTGTAGACAGGAGTGTTTGCTTTCCAAAGGAGCTCTATCAGCCTGTTGGTCCCAGCTGGTTCACAGAGAGGCAAGGATTCCTCAGACCTTCAAAAAAAGACCCTATCATTCATACCAACGATGGGCGCTGTGACTTCAGCTTCATTCTCAGCAAAGACTTGAGCGTTTTAGCCTCACTGCATTCAGATGACGTAAGTCTGACTGAAGACATAAGAAGACGACATATCTTGCAGGTTTGTCAAGGGAACCAGTTAGACTTTAAGATTCATCTTCCCCATGCTGGAAATTTTGCTTTCAAAATTTTTGCTAAGAAAAAATCTGATTCTGGAAATTATAACTATATCTTCAACTACCTCATCTGTTGCTCAAACAGTGAGGTTAAGTGGCCCATGTTCCCCCAGAATTATAGCAAGTGGACAGAAGGTTATGAACTCATAGAGCCTTTAGCTGGGTTGCTACCAGCCAACCGTATCATCAAGTTCAAGCTCAAGCTTCATAGCATCACCAAGGCATTTGTACAGTGTGAGAAAACCTGCCCCTTATCTCTGAGTAAGGATGGTTACTGGGAAGGATCTTGCAGCACTTCTGGTTGTGCAGAGATATATGTGATGGTGCTGGAGAATGCTAACCACAAGTTCTATTCACACATTTTGAAATATGAAGTAGAGCCACAGTAAGAGACCACTCCTACTGTTCTCATCTGCCCAATTAAGCAGTGACATTTTATATACATATATAAACACAATCACATCAAGTCTTTCATCCTAAATTTGGGTGACAAATTTTGAAGCAACAGCAAAATTTCTTTATTGTCTTTCATTGATATTAGGTAATGAAGTTAGTATGAAATGTAGCTTCCAAACCTATGTAAAATCAAGACACAATTTTGCTTATAATTTCAAACTAATGATTCATATGCTATGTACTTAGCACATTAAAGTGGCATCTGGGCACATCAATCTCACTACTATTTCTGGGACATAAATTCCCAAAGTGATTTTGAATGAGTGCGTTAAACAAAAACATTATCACAGATAACAAGAGGGCATTCTGTAATTTATGCTAGGCGAGGGAGAGGAGGACCACATACTTTTCAAGCATCAGTGCAAATATGGCTGCAAAAGCCAAACAAGACACATGTTCTTGCAAGGTGATCATCAATATGGAAGTTTTCTTGTGTGCACACTTCATTGTCTTACAAATATGAAATGATACTGCGAAATATGTTTTTACACAGATCTTAAATGCAGTTAAATACCAATTTTTATCTTATTGGGCTGTGGTGCTTTTAAAATCACATCAGACTAAATAAAAAAAATTGAATAATAAACTATGTTAATTTTTGTCTAATCTGTATAAAGAGTACTTTGTGAAGGAAAAATCACTTGCCTGTGGGAGCTTCATGGGATATTCAAAGACAATCCTAATGACCACCAAAGAATAAAACACACATGTACTGTATCTGTGAAGATTCTCAGTCATCCAGGTCAGGTTGTCTGGAGGTTGAGTCATGGCAACTGGACTTCTTTCTCATTAGGTTGAGATATTTCACTTCTCATCCAAGTAGCATGTTCAGTCTGAAGAAGCTACTTGGATGAGTAGAGAACTGTTTCAACCTAATAAGAAAGAAGTCCAGTTGCCATGACTCAACTTCCAGACACACATGCAGTGATGCAACTGCAAGAGGTGCCCATTTATTTACAGAACTATTCGCTCACTGAGTTAGGCATTAATGGTGAAAAAGGAAACAGCTGTTTACTCAGTCAGAAAATAAAATTCTTTTAATGTACTGTAAGTTATAAACTCTCTAGTCTGCTATACGATCAAATAGGCTGCATTTTTCATTTCATTTTTAACAAAACAGCTTATACCTAATTAAACATGCAGTGAATTAACTTGATCATTCTGGAGGTCTTCCAGCACTATAACATTCATTTTAGATTTCACATTTCATAGATTCATTGTACAGTATGGATTCCTTGCCTCAGCCAAAAACAAGAAAACCCATATCAATTAATTGTCCCAAATGTCCTTTAAAATAATTTGTTCTGTTTTTCCTGCAGGCTATAGTTTCTCACATAAGGCTCTTGTCAGGCAAGCAATACTTCCTGCCCTCTTGCTGTCATGTCAGTAACAGACACCAGTTTACATACTAATACAGAAGATCAAGTGACACATATCCCCATTGTTTTCTCTATGGCAATTTCCAGGAATGGGGGCGTAGTCTCATATGCTGTCTGTGTTGTGCAGACCTTGGAGCAGGGTGGAAAATAATGACCTTATAGGGAAACAGTAGTCTGTTTACTGTTCAAAGAATCTCCCCACCCACGCACCCATACACTCTAAACCGTAATGGTATGTGTGGAAAACTCCCAGATGAACTTCAGCGAAAGACTGAAGCTGCAACAGGCTTTGAAGACTGAAGGTCCACGTGGCTGAGCAGCATAATTGAGACTACTATTTTAAAGCACCATCCAAGATGGGCTTTGCAGAAACTATAGGGGAGGACAGCACTCACTGAGCAAAAAAACTGTTTTCAAAGAGTAAGTAATAGGAAAGGAATTTTTTTTTAATGGGAGGAAAATTTTGGACTATCAAAAGTCAGTTATCCAGTAGGTTCTTCTGTCACTGTTATACATTGTACAAATATATTTCACGCAGCAATTACATTAGATGTAGTATTCTGAAGGGAGAACTGCAGAGAATTTTTGCAGAAAGAATTACAGTTTCCTAGCAACCCAGGTAAGTTTTCATTATTGGGAACAGTGGAAGATTTTAGTAATAGTACCTCACTGACCACACCGATAGTCTCTTTCAATAAACGAATGGCAACTAAAAGCAGTTTGGGTTTTTTTTAAAAAATATTCAGAACTTCAGGCATTTATGCAAGGAAAGTGTCTAAACCATTGCTTCATGGCTTGAAGCAGAAGCAGATACATTTTTAAAATTTACAGCAAAGCAGCTTCCACCACATAATGCATAAGGCCTTTCATCTTTCACTGTATACTCCAGAAACATGCTGGAGGGAGTGTCAATTGGCTCCACTTCTGTAATATATTCACTCCTGCAATGATGCCTAAAGCATCTCTAACACAGGCAAACATATGCTATGCCACATTTCTTGGACAGTGAATGACAAAATGAGAGCGTGTTACTCTTGAGATAAAACAATCACTTTGTTTCTGCCAATACTGAACTGGAATCATGCCCTAGCTGTTACATATATCCAGTTCAAATGTAGCTCTTTGGATTTCACTAGACAGGATGGAAGTTCCAAGAGAAATCCTATTGAAAATATGCAGTTGTGCATTCCCAGTGGTCTGACTAAAGATTCCCCATCATCTATTGTTCTACATTTTAAAAAGCAAAACTGAAACTAGGCTAACTATACCATATCTCACCACCGAAAATACTGTCTATGGAAACTGATTCTAGTCCTCGCACGTGAACTGACAAGACAAAAGTGAAAACTGAGACAGAACCCCAAGTTGCTTCAGGGTGGATTATCATTAACTTTTCTCTTTTAAAAAAGGAAACTGTTTGCCATTAGAAAAATGCCAAATCTACCTGAGTGCACAAAAATATGTGCAGGCTTTCAAGATCTCTTAATGTTTTTGCCAGGCAAGATCCTACAGGAAGTAGCTGCATGAGGAAGCAGAATTCAAGACAGTGTTTTTAAAGGACATTTCAGAAGAGAATAAAATACGGTTTTAGGTTTCAATTGGAGGAAACTCTATGAATCCTGATAGTAAAATAAAGACAGAACATTTAATCCTCCATTTCTAAAAATATAAAATCTAACTGCAAACTCACAACTGTCTCCATTCTGGGCAAAGGAGTTTCTTTGAACTAGTGGGGAAAAAATAGGGAAAAAAGTATTCTTTATTGTGATTTCATTTGTTTTAACTGACTCCCTTTATTTTTGTCAAGCTGATCCAAGTTTTAAAAGGCAATGTACAAACTCCAGCATACTTTCTTAAATAGCAAGCCATTAAATCTCTCTGGATTTTCATAAGATACAAATACATGTCAAAATTTTGCAGCAATTTAAAATGTCTGGGTAAATAAGAACATTTATTTGCCTGGCATCAGAAGTATTGCCAAACAGATAGATGAGACTTTTTAGGGAGAACATTCTCAAGCTAGCATTAAGCTGCCAAGAAAGCGCTTTTCTTTGTCATTACATAACATGTGTCTGACAAAGGAGACAAACATATGGAGGCTTTGGTATAAGATCTTTAAGAAAAGGCAGGTTGAATGAGAGATGTTCTCCAAGCACTTAGATCCCAGATCATTTACAATTTTAAAGGTAAGTACAGTATCCACACACTGAGAGTCAATGTGGATGAAATGTTGGACTAGGGCTCAGGAGCTCCAAGCACTTAGATCCCAGATCATTTAAAGGTAAGTATCCACACACTGAGAGTCAATGGGGATGAAATGTGGACTAGGACTCAGGAGACCTAGGTTCAACTCCCCACTTGGTCTTGTAAACCCACTGGGGGTGGTAACAGTAAACCCCTTTTTGAACACTCACATATCCTGAAAATCTATAGGTTCACTGTAACACAGGAGAAGCATGACAGCATATAACAAGGTGAACTGCCTCCATAAATAAATAAGCAACTACTAAAGTTCTTTCGAAGCTGGAGTTAATAGGTTATCAATGAAAGTTTCCATGTAATCTTCAAGCACAACCCAACGAAACTGTCAGAGAGTTGTAACTAAACAGGAGAATAGCAGATTGTGGGTCACAGTGGCCATACGATCCTTGCCCAGAAATGGTCACAGTTGAGGCAAGTCAAATTTGGCAAAAGGCACTCCATGACATGACGCCCACAGGGACCTGTAGCGGCAGTGCTATATAAGAGCACTCCCCCAGTTGCACATCATTGGGGTTTTTTAGGAGGAATGTAATCCCTCCCAAACATCCAGTTCTCAGAGCTAAGAACCATCTACCTGCAGCAACTCCAACTTTCCAGGATTCACTTTCTTTTTATTGGTACTCCTCCAGCCCATCCCACATCCAAGAAGTTAGGCCTTCTGGGGCAATAATTTCACAAGATGAAGAACATAAAATTATAGGTCCTTGCTCTGGACTGCACCATGTATTAGGCAGCACAGAGATAATACTCTATTTAAAGCAGACTCCAGGGATTTTTAAGGATAAGTAAACGTAGCTGTTTGGGGACGTGGTGGCCCTGTGGGCTAAACCGCAGAAGCCTTTGTGTGCTGCAGGATCAGAAGACCAGCAGCTGTAAGATCGAATCCACACGACGGAGTGAGCTCACATTGCTTTGTCCCAGCTCCTCGCCAACCTAGCAGTTCGAAAGCATGTAAATGCAAGTAGATAAATAGGTACCATGTTGGTGGGAAGGTAAACAGCATTCCGAATCTAAGTCATGCTGGCCACGTGACAATGGAAACTGTCTTCGGACAAACGCTGGCTCTACGGCTTGGAAACAGGGATGAGCAGCGTGCCCCCTAGAGTCAAACACGACTAAAATGTCAAGGGGAACCTTTACCTTTTACTAAACGTAGCTGTTGGGGGCCATATTCTATGTCTGATGAGGGCAGGATGCTACCAACAGCTAACCACAGTGAAACCCTTAAGTCTTATCTCAACTCAGAGAGCAGATTGCTAATTAAATCTAATAACATATTACAATTTAATTTCTAAAAGGTATCTTAAAATGTATTTAAAATAGAAGGCACACATCTGGCTCAGCCTTGCAAGCAGAAAGGAAACTCTTTGGTGTTATTAAAAATCTGAGTTCAAAGACAAAATTCCCCTCCAGCTTCATTAATTATAAAACTGTTAAGGCCAACTGATTATTCCAAAGGGATATTCAACATTCTCAAGGCATAGATGAATGCATGGAAACCCTGCAGCCACTGATAAAAGGGCCTCAGAAGTCTGCAGCAGCTTTGTCATCACCCTCCAGGATAAACAACCTTCCTCCACCTCCAAAATATGCATATTTACAGTCTCAACACACATTAGGCCCATTCATGAGAGATTCTGATGATGTAGCCCAGAAGCTGCACATCTCTCTATTTATTTGTGTTTGCTTGTTTACCTTATCCTTTCCCAATCAGTCATACATAATTTTTTATACTTGACTGGGAAATGGTGGGGAGGAAAGATCAAGAATTTCAGTCTCCATGTGCAAACTGCTAATCTCAGATTGTTGTCCATTTTGGGGTGAATGGACTGACTGGTCAAAATACAGGACTGTCTCAGGTTTTTGGCACCTCTGTTATTACAAAATCTCTTTCCAAGAATAAAACAGAATTAATGAACATAGTGATAACTCTATTTCTGCTGGGAAATTGAGTAAACAGCACAAGGTACAGAAAAATTTATTTAAACATTTTTGAGAGTTTGTATAATAAACACACACACACTTTTAAAAGGTAAGGTGTCCAGATTGAATCTTATTGAGGCAGGGGAGAGACATTCAAAATGCATTACTTCTGTTCTTCATATCACATTGTTGGCCAAGACAGGTTAGGTTTTTCAAAAGGGACTAAGAAGCATTAAGATTCTCAAGATCAATTTAGATGGAAAACAATGTTTAGCACCATTGGTTACAGGCACAACACCTAACCAAAGAAGAAATAAATAAATAATATGCTATAAGTATTCACCTGCAGGAGCATATTTTATATTTCATGCTATAGTTTGCTTTTCAAATAAAAAATTTTTTTTTAAGTTGACAGTTCCTCAAGCAGATCTTGCTTTTGTCTCTTACAGGTTAAACCAGCTAGCATTACTCAGTACAGAATACTCACTGATATCACATAATTTCTCTATTGCAGTACAAGAGTTAGCAAGGAATGAGTTGTTTCCTAGAATTATATCAGTGCAGAACCTTTGCCCAAGAAGACCATATTTCCTCATATAACATGGGAAGCAATCTGGTGATCGACAATGCAGTGCATACCTTTTGCCACGGCCTCACTGAAATAAATTACAACGGTCTTGTGCAGAACATGGAAGCAAGAGTAGGAGTGACAATTCCACTCCATTGAAACTACAAACTCTTCTGAGTAGCATACACCATTTAATTGGAACAGCAGCAAACTCACAGTGCTTAAATCTTCTCTACTCACCATTAGAATAAAAAAGGTTTACTGTCTTAACTCAGATTCATAGAAGTAGATGGAATGTAGTAAAGAAAGGCGGGTATATGACCACTGTACTTCATCACTTGTATTTCATCACTATTTCTTCTACTCAAATATCTAAACTTTACAATGCCAAATTCCTGCCAAAATCCGCCTCTGAAACTGCATCCAGAAGGAATCCATAGCTACAACTGACACTGCAAAATCTAGATCCACTTTAAATACTACAAATGTATTATGATATACATTTTTATGGGACAGAACCCATTTCACCAGATGCAACTTAGGCCCATGAAAGATTGTGTAATAATAAATTTATGTACAGATATTTACAGCAACATAGATTATATCATTTTAATGCAGTAGTCTAACACGGCTGCCACCTGTGGAAACTGGTCTGTGTATATTAGTTATTCCTATGGCCTTTATCCCTACAAGTGCATCTAATGTATACTTTAATCTTCCTTACCTATGACATGTGTCTTTCTCAGTCTACAGAGCTGGGTTAGATGTTTTCTCCTGCCCAGGCTGGCTTCCAGAGTGAATCTGCAATGAGTTGCTTAAGGAAAAAGAATGTGAGTCCTATTTTTTCAGTCCCCCTGTTCAAACTCTAACAAGATATTCTCACAGAACAAATGGTAGAACACATTCATTTTGTAGGGAATGGAGAACTAGTTTTCAACAGAAGAAAATGCTGTGTATGCTTGCACAGGTATTATGTACCATTCTTACAGCACAGTATAAATCAGAATTTACTGCTTTGGCATATCTTCATATTGAGTTTGATTTTATGTAGTTCATCACTATCAAACTAAAATGTTAGCAAGAGAGACATGAAGTCATAGAAAACAAACAACACACAGGCATCAGTAAACTGGAAAAAGAATGGTTTTGTAGGAAGACAGTAGAGCTGCTTGTAAAATGAAGGCATATATGATCTGCTTTTGGAGTGGGAGTATGCTTGCATCAAGTTTAACTTAAGTATTCTTAACAATATCCAGCACTCCAGCAACTGTAGCTTTTTTAGCACCAGCACTCACTGTTCCTAGTTGAACACAGGTTATTTCAAAGATTTAGGTGGCACAAATCTGATGGTCTGCATGTTTTTTATTTTCACAGAAAATAAAATTTGGAATCTTTGTTCAAAAGCTAAAAATCTTACAAGTAATTTAATTTCTAAGGAACAAAGGCAGAAAGAATGAACTGGAGGTATGAAAGGACACTGCTTGGCTTCTTGTCCAAGGACGTGCTTTTAAGGATCTGTATTTTTTCCTAAAGCTTCACAGCTATTCAAAGCTGTCTGATACACTGGTCAGCCCCTTAAATGGGCTTTTATGGCTTTGAACAGCTGTTCAGTACTTCATAAGACAGATGTTGTCTAAATAACATTGATCTTGCATACAGATATTTATTACATACATTGAACTTCACCCTTGGAATTAACTGTACTATATCAAAGTAACTTTCTTTCACTCAGTTGCTATTTGACTGCATGTCATCTTTTACAGCAAGGAAAGAAATACAGCCCATAGCCCCCAAAGGGACCACTACCAAGTCATTAATGTGGTATTTGGTATACAAGTTAGATCAACTGAGGAAATACTTATCAGCATCACACAAAGTCTTCCCTTGGGTTTTTTTCACACCAGCTAATCTACAAACTTGAATAGAGAATAAGCAACATTGAAAGCAAAGTGAAATTTCAAACTGGTCAGCAAATGATGTGTGTGGTAAAAGGAAGGCAATGGGTTATTTGTCATTTTATTTCTTCAAATATATGCATAAATTATACTTTAAATGTTGTCCACAGAGAAATTTACATCAACTCTTATGAAGATCACTGCATGGGTATTCGAGGCCTGCAAGTTACAATAAGGCAACTAGAAAGGTTTTCTGTAGTAGTGCAATTACCATCATTAGAGAAAATATTCTGCTACATATAAACTTCATTTCCTTTACTTTATCTCCTCTGAAAACCCTAGGACAAAGAGAGAATAAACCTTCTTCTTAGTCCTTGAGAGCTCCCTGAATTATAGGCACATCCTGTCCATTGTCTGAAATAAATTAAACCAATTTTCTAGTCCATGAAACTTCAAACAATGTTACTTCTGGTGTGCAAACTGTTGCACTGTTTTTTTGCTTTCCCTTTTCAGCTCCTCAATATGTGCATCTAAGCGTTCTAAGATATGGTGAGATCTTTCTTCTTCTTCTTCCAGGAACTTGGCAGCAATTGCACCAAGGTTTGTGGTAGGCACTGGGCTCTAAAAAGAAAAGTTGAACATTACTTTGATGCATAAGATTTCCATCCTAATGCTACACTTTACTATTAAACTGACAGAGACTACATTAGACTGCATTAGCAGTTGGCAACATACGGATAGAAAATGTTCATGCAAAGTTTCATCACAGCTGAAGTCTGAGTTGACAAAATCAGGATTGGGCTAAAACCCTGTCACATTCCTCTCATCATTTTTTGACTACCACAGCAGCCATATGATTTCAGAGGAAAATCTTTGAATATCAAATCTAAAATGTTTATTTTGTGCAGTTCATACACAAGTGAATGAAGCAGGGATCACAACCTTTTCAGCCCCAATCAATTCAGAAATACGCTAGAGGGCACACATGAGCCCACATATATATGAACTTAGTCAACCACAGTTCCTAAAAATGTGTACTTTTTCTACAAAGCACAGCTTCATGTTATGCATATCTAACTCAGACAAAAGCCCAATGCAACAGCTTTTAGGCATAGAAAAGCACAGTTGAAAACAATGCTTGTCCATTAAAGCACTTTTAGCATGCAAAGCACAACTCTGTTGATCTTAAAGTTTAAATAGCCAACATGTTAAATAAATTGCTTAGAAAATATAATGCATTGTAAATGGCATAACTCAGATAACTGACCAAAGATAGAAACAGATGTGCCCACTTTCAAAACTGTTTGCATATACTTGTAGTTTCAAACTCTTAATGTTCCATTTGCCAAACTCCGCAAGAGTACAGAAGAAAGCTCCACTGGGTGACTAGGAATTCTGAAGAAGCAAGACTTTATTCTCCCATGTAACTGCCCAGACGTTAATAAGAAGTGATTATTCATTGCTTTATTTTAAAACATTATATGCTACCTTTCTCCAGAAGGATTCAATCTATATTGGAGCCTATATTCCTATCACCAGTCTGCAGCGAGGAGTCAACCAAACTTAGGGTATCCTTTTCCACACCCTCGTGCCAGTGAGCTACTGCCACCAGGTGTTATAGCAGAGAAAGCCACAATCTGCATTTGAAAGAAGGCTTCCTGGTATATGGAGCTAAAAACTTGTAAACTGATTACTAAAGAGAGAATGTAAATCTAATATACTCATGGTGGCAGCAGATTATACATCCCTCAATTTATTACACTTACCAAAGGCAAAAATTCTTTCCCACCCTCACTTGACACATCATCAGTAAATTCCATGTTTCCATGGGGCAAAGGATCTGATCTCAGAAGGTGATCACAGGATTCCACAGAGTTGCTCCTGCTGACCATGGGAGATCGTTCAGCAGCTATGTTAGAAGCAAAGACTTTGGCTGACAAATGTTGCATTTTCTGGATTTCTTTTTCATAATACTGAACAGTCTCATCAAATCTAGCCTGTAGAACTTTCATTTCTTGCTCATGCTTATGTTGTAGTTCCTGTATTTTTCTGGACACAGATCAAAAACAATCATTTAGATCACTACAGATCATTTCTTTTCAGTCCCAAATGCTACCAACATGTTTGAGAAAACTATCTAGCAAATTGGCTGTTTTCAGTCATCCACACATCCCAGACAAAAACACAGGGAGACTATGGTGTCTACAGAAAGTGCTTCTGCCATTATAAAACATCCATCAGAAGACAGAAAATGAGAACTGACTGAAGGAGTACATTCTCTTTTCAATGAGTCTGCAAAATATTTTAGAGAATGAAAGACTCAAAAGGCCAGAATCCTATTGCAAAGTATCATGCATGCAAGGCAAACAACACAATTGGTTCTCAGTTTTCTGGCAATCTGTTTCCCATATGGACAACAACTAAACATGCAAACAAGTGTGCTGTCTGGGTATGTCTAAGTGACAGACAGAGTAACTGGACACATCAGTTATGTGATCTGGGGGTTCACTTAACCAATGTAATAGGATTCCTGCCAAGGTGTTTTCAAATACCTCAAACATTTACTGGTAATTAAAACTAGTACTGGCATATGCCTAAACATCTCTTATTTACTCTTTTGCAGAAAGTTGCTTCCATTTCCAAAGACAGGTAAACTCTTACCTGCTCTCTATATTCTTTATCTCTGTCACCTGGTGCTGCCTCTGCAGTACAATACTCTCATATTTATCCTGAGGCACCCAAGATGAGGCTCCCAAGGTAGCTCTAGTTTCTTCTAGTTCCTTCTGTAGTTGCTGGTTCTCTGACTCCACTCTGTTCAGGGCCTTGTCATAACTTTCCTGGAGTTCTGCCGAGGCAGCACTTTTTGCCTTAAGATGACAAAAATGTTTTACATAATACTGTTTTTTGTTTGTTTGTTTTTGTTTGTTTTTAATAAGTCCAAGTTCCCCAAGATTTGGTGATTTTGTTGCACATTTGATAAGCAAAATTCCCAAGCATCTTCCTAGGGGAAAAAATCACTCCAGAGGGTATATCAATCACCAACTGTCTGAACCAGTTTGAAGCCAGATAGACTGAACTAACCAAACCAACAGAAGGACAAGCTTCCCTTATTCATCTCAATTGGGTGCAAACTTCAAGACCAATTTGTGGTCACCTAAATGTTATTCACATTAAATGTGCTCCAGCTATGCAGCACACCAGTAACACCAAAGCCAATGGGGTTGTCTGTTTGTAGTTGGATGCATTCAAAACCTCCAGGCACTCATTCATTTAGAACAGCTTTGTGATTACTGCCTCTGCCAGCTCGAAAGAAAAGCTTAAATAACCAGCTGGGACTGACCCATCTAGAGCAATGAGGCCAAGATCCTCTTACGGTCAAAATCAACCACATGTACAAACACAAATCAGAGCATAATTGATGTCTACTCAGAGGTATTGAGCAAAATTGATATCTTTGATACGTTACATCATAGCAAGCTAAAGTATGAATATGGTCTTTGCAATACATAGGCTCAGTTTACTTAAACCCAAATATAAAATGTGCAAAGTAAAAGCAACACAGACACCCTCCTATGCCAATGCAGGCTGTTTGAACATGATTCCATTCCTTCTATATACTAATGGATTAAGAGAAAACTGGTGGACCTGTGAGCTTTCTTCTTGCTCTCCGCAACAAATGTAAAAATGAGCCTCTAAACTGGAGATTCTGCTAAGTCTACAAAATATCTGAAGTCCAAGAACATTCTGTACTCAGATAATTACTAATATAGCATATGTTTTTCTTCTGCAGCCATGTGGAGAAAACAGGCCTCACTAGAGTAATAACACATATGCAGAGAAATCTGTATCTGTCCAAATCTAATTACAGTTGTATTCTAGTTATTGAGAAAAGGAAACATGAGATTATTTGTTTGTTTATTTGTTTATTAAATTTCTATAACGCCCTATTAGTGCAAAAGCACTACTATGAATAAAAACAATAAAATAACAGTCAAAATATCCAGTGGTGGAAAATTAAAATAAAAACAGCACAGACACGTAACCATATAGAGCAGCCAGAATAGTTCATGCAGGGGTTGCCAAAAATATCTTTCAGTAAAGCAATGTTGTCATTGATCTTTTAAAAGAGGGAAAGGAGAGGAGATGCAGCTGGCCATGAGGTCATACACTTATGACCAGTGGTTTCATAGCATTATCCTGGCAATTCTTGAACACTGTAGGGCCACCACCTCTTCACTAGATCCTTGCCCAACCTGGCTGCTGAAAGTGGCCAGACCTGTAACAACAGAATGGGCCACCACTATTATCAATGGGTCTCTCCTTGAGGGCAAGGTGTCCTTTGCCCTCACAAGGAGACACTCATTAGACCGATCCAGAAAAAGCCCAACTTGGTGGCAGATGATATAAACAACTATAGACCTGTTGCCAATATCCCTTTTATGAGCAAGCTGGTGGAGAGACTGGTGGCCAATCAGCTTCAGCCACTTCTGGAGGAGACCAATGCCCTTGATCCATTACAGTCTGGGTTTAGGCAGCATCATGGCATGGAGACAGCCCTGCAACATGACCTTTTGAGGGAGACTGACAAAGGCAAAATATCCTTGTTGGTCCTTCCCAATCTATCAGCAGCCTTTGATACTGTCAACCATGGCATCCTCCTGGAGAGAATCTCCAGAACAGGGATTGGAGGCCAGGCCTTGGCCTGGCTCCGCCCTTCCTGGAGCACCGTCTTCAGAGAGTGCACCTTGGGGAGATGCTGTCCACTCTGTGGACTCTCAAATGAGGAGTCCCGCAGGGTTCAATAATCTCCCCAATGCTAATTAATATCTACATGAGGCCGCTGGGGGAAGTCATCAGGGGTTTTGGAGCTTTGTGTCATCAATATGCAGATGACACACAGCTCTATCTCTCCTTTCACCCTTCTGCAGTGGATGCTGTCCCATCCCTTGAGCACTCCCTAGACATTGTACTGGGGTAGATAAAGGATAACAGACTGAGGCTGAACCCGGACAAGATGGAAATCCTGCGGGTGGGGGCCCATAGTATCTGTGGTTTGGGTGCCTTCTTTTCTTTTGGTGAGGTTTCTCTTACCACAAAGGATGAGGTGTGCAGCTTGGGCATGCTTTTGGACCTAGCGCTATCAATGGAATCCCAGATAGCATCTGTGGTCTGCACTGTCTACTTCCATCTAAGGCGAATTGCTCAGCTGCATCTCTACTTTGACACGGGTCCCTCACCACACTGGTTCATGCACTGGTAGTCTCGAGATTAGACTACTGCAATGCCCTCTATGTGGGGCTGCCCTTGGTGCTGTCACAGAGACTTTAACAGGTCAAAAACTCGGCCGCCAGATTGCTAAGTGCGGTGAGAAGACATCAACATATGCACTGGTTACCTGTTTGTTTCCGTGCCAGCTTCAAGGTAATGGTGTTAACATACAAAGCCCTAAATGGTTTAGGACCTTATTATCTGGCAGAACGCTTCCTTCTGACTAGAGCTGCCCATCCTGTAAGAACTTCCCAGGCTGCGTGGTTGAGGGTTTTGACCCTAAGAGAGGCTCGGAAATTCATAACTAGAAACCGGGCCTTCTTGGCGGTAGCCGTGCAATTGTGGAATGCTCTTCCACCCGAAATTCGTCTGGTGCCCTCACTGGGAACCTTTAAGTGATTATTAAAAACATTCTTATTCAGAAAGGCCTTCCCAAACTCTACTTTATCTTGATTTAACAATTAATGTTCAACTCCACCATCTTTTTCCTTTTCCTATTTTCATTTTAATGTTTACTGATATTATTTTATTTATTTAATATTGTATTGATTATTTATACTCTGTCCTCTTATTGTAGCTTTATAATTTGTATTATATTGTATAATATAATTTGTATTGTATTGTTTTATAATTTGTTCTATTAGACTATGTAAACCACCCAGAGTGGCCTGGGTTGCCAGATGGGAGGTACAGGAATCAAATAAATAAATACATAAATATGCATTATTACATATTCTCAAAATGAATATGTGTAGTAGTTCAAACACCGAGCAGGTTTTGAAGGCCACCTTTTACAATGTTTCCTTACAAGGCTTTTCAGTAACTTTCAGTAAGACTACTTGCACTGACACCTAGTGGCCACAACAAATACACGTATTGCAGTTTGGCCATTTTTTAAACCACATTCTTTGCACATTTAGTGGTCAAAATTCAGTTTGTTTGCATCATGCACGTACCAGTTCACTGCATACATAGCTGTCTTTTTATATGAATTTTACATGTGCCCTTGCACATGCAAAAACTATGTTGTTTTTAACAGCATATAAGCCTGTTTGTTTTTAATTAATATTACAGTCAAGGATTTTTGGAGCAATCACATAGTGCTCTACTTGTGGGGCAGTTACACTTCATGATTGCTAATAAGGTTCTGGCCACTGAGACATAAATTCCACTGATTTCACTCAAACACGCACACACAGACATGGTGAGCAGCTTCCCAGTGAAGTGCAATGATTAGAAACCTACTGTATTCTTTCACCTATCAAGTCATATATGTGAAAAAACACTTGCCTGGGCAAAACATAAACAACAACTAAGTGTCACCCAGAGAGATCTCAAATGTACTATTATAAAAATAACAGATATCCATCACAATGAACTCTACCTTTTGTAGCATTTCTGACAGGTGTTGATTTTCTTGCCTGAGAGCTTCTAATTGAGACAAGATGGCCTGAAAGAATAGATTTTTAAGAGAAGTTATTAAATTATTTTTCTAATCGGTGGTTACTTCAAGAAACTATATGGACTTTTGGATGCATGCCTTCTACAAAAGCATAGGTTGTTTGGTGAATAATTTCGTTCAAATAGAAAAATTCCAGCTTTCATCTCACCACATTTCTGGCACTCATATCTGAAAAATGTAATGCCAGCCATACTAGAAGGGTTGGAACAATAAAGAGATCAAAAAAAGAAGTTGTGTCATTATGTTTAATATCATGGTTTTAATGCTGAAGGATCAAGCAACAGTTTACCCTGTGCTCCACTGCCTTTCGCTCTGCTTTTTCAATCTCTAGTCTCAGTTGCTGTTCCAAATTCGAGGTAGAACCACTGGATGAGGCAAGCATGATGTCACGCTGGTGGAGTTCCCGTGTTAGTTGGGTAACTTCTTGCTTCATTCCCTCCAACTCACTGCTATGACTTTGCTCCTTGTGGGATAACTGGTCCTTCAGCTGGACAAAAATATATATGAATGCTGAGATTAAATTTCACTATTGATAAGGAAACAGGGTAGATGTAGCTTTATACAGGGTGATAAAAGGCTCTCTGCAATCAGCTTCTCTAATTCCTGCACGACTGAAACCAAATCTGCCGGAGAATTCATCCATTGTTCATAATAGCGTCATTATTCTGTCCGACCTCAGCATGCACCTTTTATGTCCTGCATTATGGGGCAGCTGTAAACAGCTGAACTGGAGACTCATTCATGATGGATTAGCAAATTAATTACAAATGGTTTGGCAAACTAAATTATTTATATCCTGGCAGTTATAACAGCCATACCCAACTAGTATATGACAATATTATTTCTGCAGCTGGTTGCCAATAAAAAGGTGCAAATACAACAGAGCAAGGGTGATACCAATAAAACTTTTGCATTCCTAAGTTTTATTTAATGAGAACTAAATAATACGTCAATCCAGTTTTTTCTGGATCTGTTTGAGGGATGCAATTAATTGCTAAAATACATATTCACTTGTAAGAGTGACTAACATAGTGAAATATTTAAACAAGACATTTTTACTTCTTGTGTCTTCAGTTGCTCTAATAAAACAGCAATTGGCGAAAACAGAAGCGGGAATGTTTTGCTTCTATCTCCCACTCAGTTTAGGCTCTTATTGTGGGCTAGAAATTCTATACAGGTTGCTGTAGAAAATGCAAGAATAAATTAAATTAGTCAATTTAGGCTAGGTTTAGATAAAACTGGTTTACTCCTACAAAAAAGTATGTGAAGCATAAAGTGGCAGTAAAGCCAAAAGTTTTCTCTGCCCCTGCCTCCAGAGCAAATTTCTTGTTTTTTCAGACACTGTTTCTATGACATCTGATTTATGAAACTGGAAAGTATCCTCTGAAGCCAGGTGCATGAAAGGAAAGAAGACAACCTGAACTCATAGGTTGCATCAGCAAGATATAATTTTTTGGTGCAGCCCCATTACACAAAGCCTTGGTTTATGTTATACGTGGTTTGTTGCTTTACATATGAATGCAAATAACAAAAAAATGTAATTACTATAATTTTTTTTTCTTTTGCTTTTACCCCTTTTGTCCGGTGCTATTTCAGGGTGGGCATTTGGGGAAACAAATCCACAAAAAGCCAGTTTTTGGTTCAGATATAAGAAGTTAGGGTTTACACAAGTCAGCAACAAACCATAATTTTAACTGTGGTTTGCAGTTTTTAATAAATTATAGTTAGCGTGGACAAGTATGAATGCAACAGCAAGCCAGAATTCAAGAAACTACCATCTGACTTACTATTACAGTGGTGCCTCGCAAGACGAAATTAATCTAGCAAAAATTTCGTCTTGCGAAGCGAGTTTTCCCATAGGAATACACTGAAATTTAATTAATGCATTCCTATGGGAAAAAAGTCAGAAACAAAAAAAAATTAAAATAAAGTCACTTACCAGGTACTGTAGACTGAGCCCGGCTCCTCACAGTGCCTTGGTAGCCCCGAAAAGCCAGAGAAAGAGCGTCAAACAGCAGAGAGCCCAGACCCAACAGGGAGGTGGCAGCCATTTTGTGCTCTTCTCTGCTTCCACCCGCCCTTCCCACCTCACAGCTGATTGGTGCTGAGTCTTAGAAGCTTCCCTAGGCTTGCCCAGCACCGAAAAAGAGCTGGAAATAAAAAATTGTGCTTTCCCCCTGCCCCTGGGGAAGCCTCGGAAAGTGGCGATTAGCAGTGGGGAGGAATGCCGCTTTCAGACGTCCCCCGCCAGTATTCCCACCACCATCAGAGGACTGGCAGGGGACCTCTGAAAGCAGTGCTGGGAGCACAGCTTTCAGAGGCTTCCTCAGGGGCAGGGAGAAAGCACAATTTTTTATTTCCAGCTCTTTTTCGGTGCTGGGCAAGCCTGGGGAAGCTTCTAAAACCCAGCGCTGATCAGCTGTGAGGCGGGAGCGGAGAAGAGCACAAAATGGCTGCCGCCTCCCTGCTGGGTCCAGGCTCCAATGGTGCTGGGAAGACTGGCAGGGGACCTCTGAAAGGGGAACCTCTGAAAGGGGGCCCTGCTTCATCTTGCGAGGCAGGGCCATAGGAACATTCATCTTGCGAGGCACCAAAACCCTAGCCAGACCCATTCGTCTAGCGGGTTTTTCGTGCCACGAGGCGTTCGTCTTGCGAGGCACCACTGTATATGCAAACCTGGGCACTGAAAGGATACATGTGCCTCTATTATACAGAGAGGATGATCTCCTTCTTGCAAGTAAATGTGCAATGGGTGGTAAGTTTTACCAGCAAGCAACACAAATCTTTCTGCCTCAACTAGCTGCCACTGCATGGAAGGAGACCCTCTTACAATTTATAGGAGAGAAATGTAAATTTAAAGATTCCACACAAGACCAGAGATATAAATTCTGTTTGAAACTTCTTTTTGTTTGTTTGTTGCATTTTGTCCTTTCCTAAACTTACAGATTCAAGAGCCTGCTACTATGTTTCTCATATAGACCCTAAGTGGTAAAGAAAGATATGTTCATAAAAGCTATATAATAAACGGTTAATAGATATTGGCTGAAATCCTTTTGGTGTAACCACAACAGCAGAAATGTGATGATGTCACCAACACAGGAGATTTTTGATAATTAAAGACTTCTGCCTTCTTTCCCAGAGCTTGTCTGACTTGCAAATAATTTGTTTCATTGTGTGGAAGCCATAAGATGGAAGGAGGAAATCTTTAATTACCTAAAATCTCTTCTTCTGCTAACGTCATCTAGCAGCAATGATTTTCAGGAATTAAAGTCTTCCACCTTAAAGCTCCCACATGATGAAATGGATTTGCAATTCAGACAAAAAGAGCAAAGAGGAAAGTTTTGAATTACCAAAAAACTTCCCTAATGCTGATGTCATTACCCTTCTGCAGGTGTAGTTATACCTGCAAAAGATTTCAGCCATTCTGGATCTCTATACATGTGCTTTTCTAAAAACCCTCACTGATTCACTTCTGGACATATGAGGACAACTGTTCCTCTACCAGGCCCTTCATTTAGAAGAGCTGCTGTTTCACTCTGTTGATGGTTCATTGTTTGCGGTTTAAGGGTTTGGATCCTGCTCTTTTGCTGGCTACTGATATTAGCACACATTATATGAAGCTGCACCTTTTATTTTAGAGCACAGTACTTTCAAGTTTATGCCCTTAGTACAGCCAAAAAGAAGTGTTAGTCTGTACATTCTTTGGTTTACTTTGTACCTGATCACATCTAATGAATGAAATAATTCATATTTAAGTTTCAGAAGCAGAATACATTCCTTGGCACCGAAAGATACGGGTGACAGCCCATTTTCATTATTAATTTATTTGCACAACAAGACCTCACCTTTTTAATTTCAGCCTTAGCCTGGCAAAGGTGCTCTTCAGTTAAACAAAGTTTCTGGCACTTCTCAGTTAGCTCTTCATGTGGTAGGATACCGTTTGTATTTGCAAACCCCAGGTTAGAACTTCAAAAGATTTAGGGAAAGGTCAAAACCAAAGCATGTTATAAATCATTTACATAATAATATTGCACAATACACAGCCCAAAATTTAGCTCTTCTGCTATCTCACTTGAGCCCTAAATAATTTGGATTAAAAATTCCACCTCAGAATACTCAAGTTACAGAGACTTTCATTTATAACTTGTCACTCATTCAACAGCTTAAAAGGAAGAAGAAGAAAAACCCAATTATTATTTCCATTACAGTAGCAAACAAATGCAGGCTCCTGTATCTTAGGATGGAATAAATATATATGATGCCTATCTATGAATAAGACAATATTTCCATAGCTAAATTAAATTGCTAAAATAGATAAATATTTTTAAACCATTATTGGAAGAGTCAGAGATATATACAATAGAGATATATATCTTATTTTCAATGTACTCTTTTCTAAAACTGGACATATTGGTAGAAAACCACTTACTTGCTTTTAGATTGAGCCTTGGTATGATCTAGTTGAAGTTGCATATGCTCCATTCCTGCCTTAATATGGTAATTTCCTTTGGCTTCCTCACTGCTCGGTAACTGCAGTTCCAGTGACCTACACAGAAAATAGGTGAGCCCTTAAAGACCATGGCCTTCTGGCATGCAAAGTTCTATTCTGAGATACAAGTACACTCAGTCCAATGTCACCACAATATTTATGTGCTTTTGTTTGTAAAACGCTAAATACTTGACTGAAGTAGTATTAAAAATATTTAACCCCCATCAGCTCTGTATTAATAGTAATTGTCAGTCAAAGGCACTTCCTTTCTTACAATTGAAGAACTAGATAGCTCAACAATCACTTCCAGAAGCTTACTAGGCAGTACCCATCAACATTACTGTTTAAAATAAGGTTTAAAGGAGTGGACAGGCAACGTGCAGCAGTAGGCTTAGTTTTATACAGCCGGATTGGCTGCAAAGGGGGCCCAAAGAGTAAAGGCAGGAGTTACGCAGGGAAACTCTAAAACTTTTGACTGAAGTAGTATTAAAAATATTTAACAGGGAAACTCTAAAACTGATTGCAATGTGGGAGTGGGTAGGAGAGAAGAAACAATCTACAACTGATCAGTTTGATATCTGGCAAATACAGCATGCCCCCCTCCATTTTGACAGCTCTCACTTCACCCCCCACTGCTAGTATGTTGCCTCTAAGAGATTATTCCCAAAGAAATGTGGCTTCAAAACAGAACAAAGGTTCCCACCTCTCTGAAATTACATTTTAGGGTATCATCATTAAAGAAAGGGAACAAAATGTTACAGTCCTACCATCACTATCCAGTCAACATAATTTCTGCCAATATATAAACACTAAGCTTTCAAAATCCCATGCCTAACAAGAATTCAGCACCTTGAAGTATTTAAAAATTGTTTACATATGGTATTCCAAGCAGCTGTATGTCACAGATTTAAATGACAGAGCTTTGCAAGCATTTTATTGTGGGTCTACAGTGACATAAAATATGTAACAGTAACTTAACAGAAAGTGGGATTTATCTTATCTGTGTTATGGTTGCTATTACAAATTAGATCATATGACAGCAGAGGTCCAGAAATTTTCTTTGCAGGGTTGCTCTGGAAGACATCTGTTTTCTTATCTCATGGGTAAGAAGTTAAACACAAGAATATGACTCTTTGCCCCATTCCCTAAGAAAGTGGAACTCATCACCCCATTTGTCTTAAGGTTGCAGACAGTCTCCAATGCAGTCAAGCCATTTGAATCAGAGACAAGACCCAACACATCCTTCCTTTGTTGAGAGACAGTATCAGTGGCATGTTGTCTATCAAATCCAGACAAAACTTGCAGGTCAGTTACACAAGTGAAATAAAAGTTAAGACTCAACACTCAGAAAAAATGAATATTGTTGGGGTGGGATTTTAATACATTTCGTGAGACAACTGTACAAAATTCTGTCAGAATATTAATCTATTCTTTTAAAAAGTGATGCAAAATGCATGGGGTTATAAATGCATCTACCTTTGTGGAACCTGTAACATTTTATAATTCAGCATTTTAATGACATTTTGCAATCAAATGACTTAACTGAAAATAAACATATACTGTAATTCAAATTGTTTTTAAAATTGCATACATGTGCTGACTGAACCATTTTTAAATTTAGGAAAGTACTACTGGTAGTGGGAGAACAAGTAACTAAATACAAAGCATCACATTTGTAAAAACCATTCCACTGACTAAACTTATCACATACTGTATATATTTTGTCTTTTTTCTCCTGCAGGAATTCTCAGATGAGAGAAATAGGCCTCCCTTGGGATATTATGTTAACTTACTCTCTTTTATATTTAGGTAGGGCTGAACATATACTCTTGATTTGAAATGGAAAAACTACTATATCACAGAAATGTCCTGGTCAGAAAAGGTGCATCAAGGTTGCAAGCAAAACAATAATAACTTGAACAAGTTTTTATGACAGGAGAACCATACCTGATGAGAGTGTCTTTGGTGTGCAGAATCTCAGTCAGTTTGGATACTTCTTGCTGTAATTGTTCATTATGAATCTGCAAGCTCTTAATGAAATCTTCTTGAGACAACAGAGTGGCCCTGAGTTCCATTTTTTCATCATGTAGAACCTTCACAGGAGGAAAAAAAGAGATTGATAAAAATAGGATTAATGTAACAATTTTTGCATTAAGAAAGGCACTGTGCCTGTACATAGCTCATAACTAGAAGACAACTCAAGAAAACCATTCTTCTTATCAGACATGATTTCTCAGTTAAGAGCATCTTTACATCAAGAGGATGAGCACAACATTGGGGGAAAAGTTATTTGATTAGAGACTTTCCAAATCACTACTCTTACATACGCCTGCTTCCAAACAGCTGAATCACAGACCTCCAGTGAGTTCCTGGAAAGTTGCAGCTCCTCTAGAAGTCTCTGTTGTTCCTCCAGAATCTTCTGGTTGGTATCAGTCAAATCATCCACCCTCATATTCAGCCTCTCCATCTCCAGTTCATTGGCACAAACAGTATCATTGGCTCTTTCTAGTTTGCTTGATAAATGATGGATCTCAGACTGACTTGCCAGCTCCACAGACTCAAACACTTGTTTTCGACTGGACAGCTGGGTCTGTAATATAAATATAAAATCCCACTAAAAATTAAGACATGTGCCACAAGATAAAAAATGAAGCTGGAATCAGTATTTAAGACATTCATGACTATATTCTTCAGTGACTGGTAAATTTTTAGTGTTTGGTTGTTGTAGGATTTTCGGGCTGTTTGGCCATGTTTCAAATGTTTTTCTTCCTAATGTTTCGCCAGTCTCCATGGCTGGCATCTTCAGAGGACAGGAGTTGGAACTCTTTTTAGTGTTTGCTTCCACTGCAGAGATGAGCAACCATGAACCCAGAATGTATGTGATTTACATATTCTGCTATCAAAGCTCATATCTAAAATCCCACCCTACTATTCTAGCCATGCATGGCTGGCATGCTACTCCCATCATCTGCTACTCCCATCATCTGTTTATTGGCAGAAAGAAGTTTTGTTCCTTGTACATTCAGAAAGAAGTTTGAAAATCCCATGATTAATTCTAGAGGTAATCTGAGTACCTTTGGAGCAAAGCATGAATGCAGAAATAGTCCTTGCTCTCCCTGCCATCCACTACAGTTATGCTCTGCTGCCAAAGTATCTTCACAGCCATAAAGAACAAGAATAAACCTCTGACCTCTTTCACAGCTCCAAGCTGGGGAGGGAGCTTTTGTCTATAGTGCTGGGCTTCATAGGTACAGAGTAGACCACGGACACAATAATTCATTCCTTTCTCTCAGCTGAAAGACAGCTTGGGTAGTAAGCACAACTTCTGGCTAGCTCCTGAGGCCTACCAAAATCTGCAGACTGCTGGACTACCACAGACAAAATAGATTCACTTTTCAATAAACTCATAGAAAGGTGTCATTAAACAGAGAAAATTACACTCAGATTTTGAAAATATAGTATGATACAAACCACTTTTTTCAGGTATTAAAAGTCCAGTTATTCAAGTTAGAATCACTTTCTAAATTTATTCTAAACAGGAGTATCACATGTCATATTCGTTCATTTCCATTGCTTGTCCACAAATTCAGTCTTCCCTCACACTATTCAGCAACAGCTTAACAAAAAAAAACTGAGAAAGATAACATTCTTGGGCTTTACAGGAAACAGGCAAAACCCAGTATAGCATTGAGGGATGGCATATTTATGGTGGCCAATAGGATAGCATCCACCATTTTCGCATGGATGGCTATAAAGACTCTTACAAAATTAGAAAAGGGAAGTTTAATTAATGCAGTCAAGCAAATGAATTTTGTTGCATTTTATTTTTGTCCATCTTAAACATTGATCATCTTCAGTTGAAAAGGAGCACATAGGGATTTGGAAGAACAACTTCTTCAACTACAACAACAGTTGTCAAAGGAATTGAACACTCTCAGTGATAGGATGGTCAGAATAATTGGCATACAATGCACAGCAAAAATAATTATGAAATCTGGAAACATTGTATATTTGGATTTTTTTTTTGTCCAACAGGACGTCCTCTTCCTCCTCATTAACCCCCCCACAACTGTTCCAGAGATTCTCATTGCCCCACCCCCAGAAGCGACAGTGGGAGGGGTTTCAAATGGAACATCTATTCCATCAGTGGTATTTTTTCTGTTATCCAAAAGGCAATACTGCATTTTATTCAGCATTACAAAGATGGGTGAACATGATGTATGTGATGGCTCCCCATTCCCATCATGAATTTTTAAATGAATTCTTCATTAATTAAGGGTGGGAGATTCCAACCCCCCCCCCAAAAAAAAAAAACCCAACCCAAAGGTATTCAAGGTGACAATCATAAAATAACCATGTGCCTACAGTTAAGTACTGTATACACTGATTACTTTGAAAGCCAAAAGCACATTTGCCATTTTCCTATTGCCCTATCACTGAAGCAGTATGCCAACTGAGACTCCAAGAAAGAGCCATCAACAATCCAGACATATCTGTGGCAAGGCATTTGTCTCAAAAAGACTCATGCTTTGCTTAAGCAAATCTGCTACCATCTGCTTTTTTCAAAGCTGCCATCAGTGTCAGGTTCAATCCCGTCACTGCCAGCTTCTGCAATACAGAACTTCTATACTTGAATCCATTAAGTGAAAAGCTCCCAGTAAGAGCTTCTTATCAGCATCTACTGTGATTGTATCAGAACTGACTTCTTAATAGCTGACACCTGGTCAGTTAAACTATCTAAACTATACAAGCACAAACCCAGTGAACAGATTAATTCTTCAAAAATAGCAGAGGTTTTGTACTCTTGCTTCAAGATGCAAAAAAAAAAACAAAAAAAAAACAGAGTTATACATTTGCACTGCTTTGGTTATCTTGCCACACGCAAATTTTATACATAATGCACCAGTTTTTAAAAAACTTTCTAGCACACGATCTGGCACCTAAGAGCTAAACAGCCTTGAATGGAATATATTTTTTAAATGTTTACATTATGGAGTTCCCCACAAGAACCATTTTATGACCTTTCCTCAATTTCTGCTTAAGAATGGAGTATTTTTTTTCTATCTGCTGAACATATTTCAGATTTTTTTTCAGCCATGTGTATATATTGTACAGGACAGGATTAACCCATGGTTGATCCTGCTTCAGAAGATTCAAGTTCATTTCAGTGGAACCCTGAACTATACGAAAGCCCAGATGGTTGTTATAAGTTCTTTCCCCTATTTCCTATCAGCCATTAATTCTACCTGAATTAGCTCAGACTGCTCAGCCAAAGCCTTCCTTTGTGCTTCCAGCGATGCCACATGTTGTTGGTACTGCAAGCGCTGCTTCTCCCAATCTAGGGATTTTTGACGGAATTCCTGTAAAGACAAGTGTTATTTACTAGCCGTTTGTGGAAAATATCCACTACTTCAATTCTGATGTTTTACTTCACTCCTATTCCTACTCCCTCCCATCTTACATATATCTATCCACTGCAGAGATTTCATCTAACCAGGTATCTGATGCAAACATCCAGAAAAGTACTTCATTGTGCCATTTAAAACGTAGATATCAGTTAGTGCTCCAAATCCATACAGCAAAACTAGATTAATGGCTACCTTTACAGAAACTCAGTTTGGCTTTCTAAAATCTCCTTTTAAAAATAAAACATTCCTGTAGCACACTGCTGGATAATCTAAGATGCTCCCAAAGTCAGACACAGCATCTCAGAAACAACAGTGAATAAATCATGGCAGTCAGGTTCAAGAAAAGGTAATACTGGAAAACATTATAAAATGCTTCCAATAAGTTAGTACCCAAAATAGGGGAAATACAGGTTATTATATATTTAGTCATTATTTATCAGAGTATATTGTAAACTGCTAAGCAAATTATCACAAAAAAGCATTTTATATAATATATACTTGCATGCCCCTTATTTGCTGTGCGTAATTCCCATCCACCTCCCAGGACAGTAATTTTGTTATAAGTATATTACACTTTCCGAATGTTCTACATATAATGCTTTGTATTAGAAAAATGCAATACTCCTCCTGGATGATGTATTCATCCCTATTATAATTGCTGTGAGGAATGTGGCTGAGTGCCATAGGCCCAATAAATATTGTCTGTAATATAATTAGCAATAAAGCTGTGATCCAGTGAATAGGCTCCAAGGATATACCTGCAACAATTCATTTTCATGCAATCAATCCCTGGAATCAGTGTAAGAACCTGGTGTCATCAATAGGTACGTTATCTCATGCCCTATTCTTAACTAGAATTCGACTTCCTAGTTGCTCAAAATGAAATGCAGTGTTTCAGTTGGAGTTACTATCTTCTCTATACTGTAATATTCTTCCTCCCAAACAAGTTTCTGTTTCTCTTTCTCCATTACCAGAGAAACTTGGACAAATAAGTTCCAAAGCAATGTGCACTTAACTTTAGTATCAAGACAAGAAATGGAATGTAAATGATTAAGGGAACAAGAGAGAACGGTGAAAACATCCCCTTAGTGATTCTTGACCATTTTTATCACATACATGCAACATCACCCTGTGCTGTAGTAATTCACTGGTAAGCAGTGACCAAAGTTTTCTGAAGTCATTTGCAACTTATTATGTTATCTTAAAGTAGCTGACTAATAATCTGATCATTTATAAACAAAACATTTAAGCAGTTTCCATAAGCAGCCAAAACTTATTTTCAAAGAGACCTTTCTCAACAAGCTTTGAGAAGATGTAAAATAACAGAATTTATTGTCTTTGCCTACTAAAGGATTCCATAAATCACAATCAGCTTCAAACCAGATCTACTGACTATAGCCTACAATGAAATCAGAACTGTATTCTATAGATCCCAGCTTCTGTCAAGGAGCACAGTGGGGAATTGAATTGATAACTCATGACAATTTAATTAAGTGACTTATAGAACAATCTCATTGTGAGTAAGATGAAAATCTGGAGCATAATTACTGCCACTTCTCAAGCCCTGCTAGCTTATGGGCACTGTTTATCACAGCCATGGCCTTTTGTTTTAAGCTACTCGCCCACCACTACCACCACAAAGTAGAGCATTTAACTATAAGGTTTCTGAACTAACTAAGTTCTTGGGCTGCTCCATAGTCATGTCAGGGAATAATGACATTTAGATGCCTGTAGATCCTTATACTATCCCAAGCACATGCTGTTCCAGGCTACAGTACTACAGAGTTACTCTCAGAGGCTGCAGCAAAATTTCTACCACTATAACTCAGAAACCCTCAGCTGATCATTTTCCATCCACAGAAAAGGAGATATTAAGGTCCCAGGGACACTTTCCTATGAACCACAAGGGCAGTACACAAATTAGCAGTGGAAAAAAACTCTGATGTAATTTTTTTTCTTTATGGTCTTCTATGATTCACATAGCCAGATTTTGTGCCTGCACAGAAACATTCATCTGGAACCTTCCACAGCTTTCTATCCTCCCTTCCTCCATCAATTCTGGGCATGTTCACAGCACCTTCCAATCACTCCCTCAATCCCTTTTTGTGTGCTGCTGTGAGAAAGCATTGTTCCAGAACTTTAAAACAAAATTGTTCTTAGACTTCTTCATCTATAGGTAATATGTTTGTAAAAAAATTATGCAGCCCACAATCTTTCACCATGTAGCCTCTTTATACGGCTTTTAACCCAGCATTAAGCATGTCCTTATTCAGTACCTGTCAGATTAATAAGTACATGACTACTGAGCACTTTTCTGCACAGAAGAAACCCTCAGTGTAACAGGACTTACATGTAAAGCCAGTTTGTATCTAGGTGTCAGCCAGTAATGAACTCTAGTGTACAAGGGGGGGAACATCCTGCTCTATGTGAGTTGTGGCATATTTTCTATCTTCATAAAGCAATCCAATGCATTGAAGGGCAGAGTTTAGGGTTTAATATTCCCAATAAAACTTCCAACAATCCTGCTAGAGAAGAAACTAATGGGATAACTCTACTAACTACAGAACACACCCTTCTTTTTCTGTATCATGGATGGCGGGAAAACAGCGTATGACATTTTCATCCAAATACACTAAATTGTCTGGGGAAATATGTAGTATCTAAATGGCAGAATACAATAATAAATCTATTGGAATATGTTTTTTATGGATATCTTTACTGTAAAAAAATAAGTTTACATATCAAGTGCTGACATTTGGAATCATTGCTTACAATTGTCCAGGTGGCAATACCCCAGAATGCCTATGTTGCAGGTCTACTTCTGTATAGCTTCTGCACCAAAACATGACTGTAAGGAATTGAAATGTTTTACTTAGCTACAGTACATGAGATTAATATCAGAATTCTTCTAATCTTAGCACCTACTCAAGGCTGCTCAAGCTTATAAAAGCTTCACCAGGATGGCATTTTATCCACCTACCTCTAACTTTTTGGTCAAGATGCTGATCTCAGATGGATCCTCCTCTTGGCTTTTAGAAGCTTGCCTGGCCTCTTTCAATTGTTTCTTCAACAATTTCTCATAACTTTTCTTTAGTCGGGCTAGCTGCAAAAAAAACCCCTGCATGTTCAACTAGTGTTATGAACATTTTTTAAAACTACATTTCATATTCTGAAAAAAGTAAACTTTACAGGCAGCTAGCACAAACTACCCATTTACAATTTGATACAGTTGATCCACTCAGAAAATACTATTGTGCCTCCATATTTCATGTGTTTGTATGGAAAAACAAAAACGTTTTAGCTATTTTCACATTTTAATGCAAGACAGTGACAGGTGTAAAGATCTAGCAATCTACTTTAGCGCAGATTTGGTCTGGAAACAAATTGATTCAGGCTGAATTTCAGTGGGATACAAACTGCTAAATTGGGCCCCAAACCAAGGTAGTGGGGGCCTTGCTCAGTATTAATTACTACTTACAGTAGTAGTAATTTATTTGGAGACCTTCTCCTGCTATAATTCTTCCTCAGCTGCTAATCCTCTTCAGCCTTCTGAATTGGTTAAAATGCTGCTGTTACAGTTTCCAATCTTTGCAAATAACTATCACTTTACCTCAATTATGCTTGGCAGAATTCTTAATACCCCAGTAGAGGAACCTCTTAAACAAAAATCATTACTCATGCTAGAATGAAAAGACTTGCAAAAATGTATACAAATGCCATCAGCTTGCAAAAGCAGACCACAAAAATAATTTCATTTATGGTCTCAACTACACAGAACTTGAATAAACTCTCCAGAGAGAAAAGGTTAATGAATTGCTAGTCTCTTATGGCATTTAACCTCCAATAACTGACAAGGAAAGGGAAGAGAAAGACAGAAAAAAACTGAAGGCCAAACATAAAATTCTGTCATGGCATTCAAGATCTTACAATGAAGTAACTGCAGTACATCAAGACATTCTGTTACTTACTTTATTAAAGATTTCAAAGAATGTAGATTGCGGTACAATGCTCACTTACTTGGGAGTAAACTCCACTGAACGCAATAAGAACAACACCTAACTACAATAGTTCTAAGCATACTGTAATATTACACCAAGGAGACTATACATTACATCGTTATTCTACCTTTTTAATTTCACTGGTCATTCCATTGGTAATTCACCAAATGACAACTGGGGTCTCAATCGCAACGGTTAGTGTATATCCACTGCCAAACTGCCAATCCATAGCTTTTTGATAAAAATGCTATCAGCAGAATGACTCCTGTGAAAAGTACTGCTGCAATTTAAGTTGTCCAACATTGTCACAGCAATCACTAGCCTAAGGAATGCAAAAAGGACCCAATTCATAAAAACAAACTTTCATGTTAGGAAACACTTAGGCTTCTGAATTTTCCAGCATTCTTCATCAAAGAAAGACGATATGGGGCTAAGCCAAACAGTTCAAACATTGGGCAAGATGTAATCTCCACTATTCATGAAGCCAGACTGCCAGCAAAACAAAATGGAATTTTTGATCCCACATGAGGTAACAAAGGTATTAATTTACACGCTCTCCTCTCTGCAGATAAAAATCTGGTTTGGGCACCTTGTATATCTGCCAGTTGCCTTGGATGAGGCAACAAACTTCTTTGCAGGCTTGAAACAGAAAAACATGGAAATTTTTGTGTCCCACTAGGTTAAAAATGCAATTTCAGCTAAACTGATAGTTACATCTAGTGGACAGAGAAGACATAAGAATCCTTGCTGGATTTCAATTTCATGGAAAAACACCTTTTCATGACAGTACGTTTTCTCCCATGTAACTAACCATCTTATTTCCAACTGAAAACATGAAAGCAGTTGCAATTCATTTAAAGTCACAAAATAAAGCTGGACTTGGGGATGCACACCTCTTCCTGGATTTTGCATAACTGCTGTTCATATTTGACAGTAACATCATGATTTAATTGTTCCATCCCTTCCAGCCGCTGGCACAACCTCTCGATCTGAAAGACAACAAAACACATTAACTCAACAGTACCAAAAGTCCTTACAGGCAAGCTTTAGTTGGACAGTGGGGGAAAACAAGACATAGACACGCAAAACATAAATGAGACAGGACTCACATCATGAGTAGGGAATTGTTTTAATCTGTTGAACATCATATCCCTTGGGGTAATCTGTCGCAGACTTCATGCCAACAATAGACAAAAATGGAGGCAAAATTGAGCAAAACTATGCTTTTTCTCTGTCCCAAGCCCTTCCTGCTACACTCAGCAGGCTTTCCCCTTTCCCTTCCATCCTCCAATCTCTTATGGTTTTCAACCCACTCCTTCTTCCATGCTATCACTTTCTGGGCTCTGCTTAATATGCATGACTTATTTTCCTAGTAGTTAATTAGGAATGTGAATTCTACTACAGTAAAACCTGCTGCCTCAAACAACTGAGGGGTTTAGGACAGTTAAACTGCAAGACTAATTTGGTCAATCTGTGAAAATGGATGGAGCCTTTTGACGCATGATATGTTATCAATTTTCAACTTAGAAACTAAGGAGTGAAATCACCCCAAGCACACACATAGACAAACTGTTCATGTGGCAAAACACAATTTACACTCCTCTTCTTGGCCAATATTTTTTCGCCCATTTTATAGTATCAAGTTCAGAGGCAAAGGAGATGTACCAGAATAAACTTGTGCCTCTTCTAGAAATTCATTATGCTCCCATAAGGAGGGCTTCATTCCATCTGACAAAGCCTAAAATTAGGCTGAGACTGTTCTACATTGGGCATATCGTGAGAAAACAGGATTCTCTGGAAAAGACAGTAATGGGAGGCAACAGATAAAGAGAAGACCAAATACGAGCTAGACTGTCTCCCTAAGGAACCAGAGGGTTGAGTTCCCAAGAGCTAAGCAAAGCAGTTGAAGAGTGCTCATTCATAGAGTCATCATGAGTCAGAGACAACTTGATGGTACATAGCAACAAAGATTAGACTGTATAAAATTGAGATTATAGTTTACCATAAATGAGGGACTAGAAAAAAATAATGCCATGCCTGTGTCAGCAGTACGTAATGAAAAGAAACAAGTGCCAAATGGTCAAACATGCTGTGCCACACTCTAAAGAAGAAAGCAAAACACTAAACCAGGGATGGACAATTTGCTCCTCTGAAGATATATATTCCATGAAACCTAAGGATTGTTGTACCTATAGCGCACCTATAGCCCATAAATGCAACAATCCTGAGGTGAAGGTGGTCAAGCTGGTGGGTACTAAATAATTATAGACATTATTTGGTAACATTTATTATCTAGATACATTTTATCTTAGTTTCTGGCTTTGATTTGATAACAAAACAACCTTGGTTTCTGACTGATGAGTTGATGGATGAGGTATACTGAGACAGGTGAACCTGATAATTTTCCTAAACCTTTCAAAAGGTTCATATACTAGCTAACACAATATTGTTCCAGAATAGTTACCTGAAGTATGATAACACACAATTCTCCTTTCCATCTGCAGAGGTACTCAACAAACATCAATGACGGAAAGGCTAACAAACTGAAAAATAATCCAGATTACGTGCCCATATTGTTGTGTATAGACTTTCCTGGATAGAATACTCTGCTCTTCAAGAATTTAATTCTTAGGTTGGAAGATATTTTAGATGCAATATTACTCTTGGAAGCCAAGCAGCTTATGCCACAAAACACTTTTCACTATTTTTGAAGAGATGCAGAAACAGTATCTGCTCCTGAACAGAAATAGCCATGTTTAAGGGTCAATTCTGTCCCCTTAGTTCCTGCTGTGAGCTGCCCCTCCAACCCCTGCTCAAATTCAATGGCAAATTATACCATGAAAGTTTAGCAGAAGCAGGGAGGGGCAGAAATAAGCGTTTTGATTGCTTTAAACGTAGTGCAGCTGTACGCTCCTGAAATTTGGCAGCAAACTGCAAAAAGCTAAATGGAGATACCATGTTTGCCTACCAAGAAAGCCATTTAAGGCAACAAAAATACTTTTGTTAAATATCTTCCCGCCCTCCTCCCCACCCACTGCTACTATAATACATTTTTGGGAGCTACTTGGAAAGTCACAAAAATAGGTGGGGTTCACATGATTCCTATCACTGCTACATCTATTCACACTCTGGCAGCATCTATTTCAGACTGCTGTATGTAGCTGTTCATAGGACTGTCTATGAACACAATTTGGAAAAGAATGCTGGTATAGGTTACAGAGGCAAGATTACTCCCTGGGGACAATTTCTGGTTCTGAGAGAACTACACTGATTTTCAAGCCAGTTCCCATTATTCAAACCTTTCATATTTGTAAATGATTTGGGACCTGGGGGCCATAAGATCTTTCACATAAACCTACCTGAAAGCTACTGTAAATCCAGATAATCCTACTGTGAATTCCAAGAAACGTAAGAGCAAGGTGAGCAGCTGCCATGGTCACAGCCTTTATTTTCATGATACCACATTCAAGGTATGTTGAGTCCAATGGAGGTAGGTAAAGATATTTTTATTAACTTCACACCCTTGGAACGTGAGCTTTTGCTTGAATTGTATTATATGCATGTTTCTAATCTTTCCAGGGTTTGACAGCTAACTTGAGCATGTTTTGACTAAAAAGAGGGCAACAAATGATTTAGTACATAATGAATAATAAATAATGAATAAGTAAAACCTTTTTAGTACATAGAAACAGATGACAAAAAATAGAAGTAACAAAGCCATAACTAATCTGAAGATTCTGCCAATGTGGAATGAACAGGATTTACATATCATTAGCACAATTGCCAAGCTATAGCAAGTGGAGATGTTTCATTTATTTTAACTAATTATCTTTAGAATTGCTCCCATCAAATGATTCAGCATTAGAGATGGGGGTGTTCATATTCGTATACAAATACTCCCACACAGCTGGACTTAACGAGGGTCCGGCCCCCGGGGCACTCATGTGTCTGGCGGTGGCAGCAGCCTCACTCAACCTTCCAATCACTCCGAGTGCTGCCCTCTTTCCGCTCATCTAGCCAGCTCCAGGCAGAGGGAAGGAGGACGAATCTTCCTGCACAGCTGCCAAGTGGCTAGATGAGTGGAAAGAGAGCAGCACTCCAGGAGTGATTGAAAGGCTGACCAAAGCTGCTGCCGGACATGGTGACTGGACAGTCTGGCCCCAAGAGCCGGACCCTCATTAAGTCCAGCTGTGCAGGTGGACAGGTGTGCTGGTGGACATGCTGCTGCCGGACATGTGAGTGGATGGTCTGGCCCCAAGGGCCGGACCTTCATTAAGTCCAGCTGTGCAGGTGGACAGCTGTGCTGGTGGACATGATCTATTCAGCATTTGTACATTGCTGACACATTCATTTTATAATGATAAGAGAAGAGAAAGCATATTTGAGCCATGGGAACAAAGGAGAACCCCCACAGAAGTACCTCTTTGCGTTTCATGTGAGTGGATGGTCTGGCCCCAAGGGCCGGACCTTCATTAAGTCCAGCTGTGCAGGTGGACAGCTGTGCTGGTGGACATGATCTATTCAGCATTTGTACATTGCTGACACATTCATTTTATAATGATAAGAGAAGAGAAAGCATATTTGAGCCATGGGAACAAAGGAGAACCCCCACAGAAGTACCTCTTTGCGTTTCTCATCTAATGCATTCCTGAGAGAAGACAGCTCCTGTTCTCGTATATCCAAGCAAGACTCTAAAGTCTGAGTTCGACTTTCCCATTCAGCTCTCTTATGAGCCACCATTATGTCTATCTGCTTCATCAGCTCCTGCAGCTCAGCCTCACATGAAGTCAGGAAGCCTCTGTCAAGGAAAAAAAAAGCTTGCTCTGATCTTGCCAGAAAAAAGTTAACACACAAGCCAAGTGTTCCTTCTTAGTCTCTTTGATCTTCGTACACAACATGGTTAACCCTAGGCAACAGTAATACACCCACAACTATTATACCGTGTTTCCCCAAAAATAAGACAGGGCCTTATATTAATTTTTGCTCCAAAAAAGGCATAAGGGCTTATTTTCAGGGGATATTTTATTTTTTTCATGTACAACAATCTACATTTTTTCAAATACAGTAATGTCATCTTCTTCTGGTTGCTGCACAATGGTGGCGGGCAGAGTTTTATTTAACTAGGGCTTATTTGGGGGGGTAGGGCTTATATTACGAGCATCCCGAAAAATCCTACTAGGGCTTATTTTCAGGTTAGGTCTTATTTTCGGGGAAACAGGGTACTTCCATCGATCCCTTAATTTTAATGGACCAGGAATGGGCTTCTCCAGCCAGGAGTGAGTATTTGAAAACAGCACATAACGGAGCAACGTAGAATAGATTTGACATATTGTAAATATGCAAGAATACTGAAAGATAAAGCTGTGAAATACGTTCATCAGCAGACATCATTTCTTTATTTTAAGTGACATCCCCTATCAAATATAAAACAAATTTACCAAAAAAAAAAATCAAAATCAACACAAAAAGATAAAATGTATAAATAAAAACACTGGAATTATATACATTCTTTTCTAAAAATACATATCAGTATTTTATTTCTTTAAAATAACAGATTAATAAAAATGACAGGAAGGGCTTCATATAATCTGAAAATATTAAGAATAGATAGCTCTATAGTCCTGTTCAAATCCAATAACAGCTTTTAGGAAGCAGAGCTCCAAGAATTAAAGATTACATTGCTTCTTTCACTACCTCTGCTCTGTAAAATTTAGAAATGCAGTGATTTCAGGTAGATGAGTGCCATAATAGATTTGCTTTTTTACCAGCAGTTACATTCTATTCCTTAGAGCACCAACTCATATTTTTGAACAGTCTGGGTCACTAATACAGACAGAATCTTCTCCCTAAAGAATATGATGCTCCCACAGACCATCAAAGTTTTCTAATTAAGTTAAAACATATTGACTCTTCCTCGAAAACCTTGTAATAGGTTACCATAAATCAGAACAGACTTGGCAGCACACATATCTAAAATAATTTTAAAAAATCTAATTCCTATCTATGAGTTTCCCATTTCTATTAGTTGTAGAGATTTTTCATGTTTGTATAAAATTCACAGCAAAATGCACGTGCTCTTTAGATCAAGGCTAGTATCCAAATATGACTTTCTGCTGCTACAAATGATTTTACACTTGCACAGACCTAGTTCCAGAGTATACACAAGAATCCAATGCAGTTTCATGCTGCACATATGTGGTAAACTGCACAGGAGTCACAAGAATGAATACATTTTCCCCTTCTAACATTATGCTGTAGCATTCAGTCACTACAGCCATTGTACAACCCATGAATAAACTCTGCAAACAAAGGTTTAATCAGTTTGTACACATACAACAGAATGAATGACAACACCATAATGAGACAAAATGAATTTGTGGTCTATTATCACAGGTTGTTTCCCTAGATTGTTGGGATTTCACTCTGGCACAGTAATCAATTAAACTCACTTGCTAAATTATTTGGAAACTTGTAAGATGCTAGACCAGAGACAATACTAAGAACTGGAGGATAAAGCCCTGGAGAGAAGAGGTTCTCACTTATCTTTACTTTTTAAAATTTGCCTGTCAATTGTAGATTCAAAAAGAAAATTAGAAATCAATAAGTTAAGAAATTGAATTCCCTTACTTTCTCCAGTATTCAAACAATTAACAGCTTTACTACATGGGAAAAATTATTTCTAAAGTGGCTAACTTTATAATTGTATAGTTCACAGATGAAACAGAAGACCAGAGAATAAACCACAATTATACTCAAAACTGGGCATTGTACCTTGGGATATAAAAAGCAGCTTTAAACTTAATCAGACCAATGTCCACTTTGTTAGCTTTTGTCAAAGGTGACTGACAACAGCTGTCAAAGTTTGAAATTATGTGTGTACAGAGTGTTAACATAATTAAGGAGATTGTAAAAAGTATACCCTAAAAAGTGTACATTGTGATTAAAAATCAGACTTGAAAAGCAATTTACTAAAAGTCACTGCAAAACAATCTGCTAGCTCTCCAGTCAGCATGTGCAAACAACTGATAAGAAAAACCCTTGTAGAAACAGACAAGCTGATGTTACCTGGAATCATTGCAACAATGAAGCAACTTATACCTTGAGACCCAGATGAACTTGGACATGATTGCAAATGACCATCTGGTTAACAGTAGAATTATCCCTATTTCAGGGATAAATACCAGCCATGTGAACATAGGCTTCTGGTTTTTCTTAAAGGTCTTTAAAGCTCTTAGGACATTGTTCAGACATTAGACTTTCTGATCTGACAACAGACTTCCTGAGGGTATGATTATATGAGGAAATAAATCATAATTTGGACCACTTGTGCAGCAGTTCAGTGCAATCTATTTTTCCAGCAATCACATGACACACAGGGAAATGAGCTGCAAGCCTAACAGGGATCTGAGCCCAGGCTGGCCCTTTTCGGCCCAGTTGTAAGGCTTCTACTATTTGGGGGGGGGGGGTCTAGCTAAAATGATTCCCCAGCAGATAGAAGAGTCACTTTAAGAGGGATTGCTCCTGAAAAAATGACCTTTTCCTGTTTGATCAGGCACATGCCTTTGCAGTCATCTGATCACACCTCAAGTCTCTACAGAAAGTTTTCTTCGCCAGGCTAAAAGAAATGCTGGCCTGTTGTTCTGGTGGTAAAGGCTTTCCACATGCAGAGAACATAGCCTTATTCAGATATTCTGCAACCCAGCACAGTAGACATGCACAGAAAGAAGTGCATAGCCCCACCACCTCTCCATGCTTGTGTTCTTCAGTTTCAGCACCAGGTCTAAGAAGCAAAGTTTCCCATTTATGTACAGACTTTGTCCGTATATGTTTGAGTATAACCTGTCTCTTCTTAGACTCAGCACTAGCCATGAAAAATGTGAGACTGGAGAAGGGTGGGGCTAGGCACTCCTCTCTATGTATGTTCAGAGTGCTGGGCTTCAGAAGACTTGAATATGTCTTATCACTAAGCAATGATTACTCATTCCTTGCCTTTTGGTTTAAAACTTCAACTAATGTAACATAGTAATACATTAAAATATTGGATTAAATTCTGCTGCACAGATCCTGACATGGCATAACTTTTAGATAAGAATTGCCATAAGACAAGAAATCTCCATACTGTTGGAGATAATGTCTATAGAATTTCCTTCATTTACAGCAATTCACATTTAAAAGATAAACCGTTGCATACTTAGGTAACAGGATTTCAGCCATTTTTTTAAAAGGCTTCACTATTAATTTCACTACACTATTTTAACTAGAATAATTGCCATTAACTACACCATGGCTAAGGGAAGACTACATTGTACTCACTCTAATCAGATTGAAATTTCTTTTAAGTAAGTGTGCAAGGCATAATTGTACCAAAATTTCGAGCAACCTTTGCAAATGTGACTTTAACAAAAGGCATGTATAAATTAAAAAGCAAAGTGCATAAGCGGGGTATAAATACAATGAATGAATGAAGGAATGAAGGAATGAAGGAATGAAGGAATCAATCAATCAATAGTGGGCAGTTGTTGGTAAATACTACCAAAGTGCCAAAGGTTGGCTACCATTAAACTATAGCAACAACAAAAACAGGACAAATACAAAGGTAGTGTGACATATTTAAGACTGACAAATTTCTTTCTATGTGAGCTTTCATAGATTACAGTCTACTTCTTCAGGCACAGGCAAAATAAATGTGTCACTCTTGAAGACACCACAATGTTTCTGTTCTTGTTGTCTGTGGAAAGATTAATATGGTTACCACTCTGAAAACCACTCGGTTACAAGCCCGGTTTAAACCTTAGCTAAAACAATGGGATCAAAGCAATAAAGAAACTAAGATTATGTTACTAAAGGGGATGCAAGTTCTGAAGGATTTCATATCAGGAAGAAAAGCTTTTATATAAGAAAAATACCCTTTCTAAAGAAATTTTGGACACTGCAAATGCTGTTTTGATGAAAAAAATAACCATACTGACTAGGGAGAGAGAAAGCAAATTTAAAGAGAAGATCTTGGCTTCACATAATGACGAAAAGGGAGATGTGGCAAAAATACATGTTGGAATCAAGTGTTGTGATGCACACAGGGGAAAAGCTTACATGTGTACTGGAATATAATTATAATGAACTAGTGAAGACATACCTGCCTTGTCCTTGTTTTTTCATTCTTTCTAGCAGTGCCTCCATTCTGAAATCACATCCTTTGGGGCAGCTGAAAAAGCACACAATGCAAAGGGTTATGCTACAGTAATTCATCATTATGTCCAATCCCTCTCGAGGTGACTGCAAATGTGTAAGAGATATCTGAACAGGAACAGGAGAGAAAGGTTGAAGAATTACACAATTTATAGTAAGGATAGAGGAGAACAGTTGTCACTTCAATAAATTTACAGGCCAAATGCTGGGCTAGCTATAAATAAAAAATAAATCAAATTCATACAGAAATCCAGAGTGATCAGTCACTTAACATCAGGATTTTGCTAGCCTTCGTGAAGTTTGTGCATTATTTCTGAACAAGAATATAAAAGAAATTATACCACTGCAGTATTCTAAAACTAGGAGTTGCAATTATAAGTCTTTTTTATAAAAGCTAAGGGACTGCTTGCAATTATTTTGCAATGTTTCTGCCCTGGTCCCTACTACAGCAACAAATATAAAGCTGCCAGAATCACCATTCCAGGAAGACAGGCTTCTCTTCAAATGGAAGTACTGCAAAAGATGAATAGCTGAGGGCTGAAAAGGAAAAAATCATTATTTACCTGGAAAGAGATATCCTGATATACCTGGATTTAGCTGGAAAAAAAACTTTGTGAAATATACATGAGGTAATTACAAGATCTTGTTATATATGTTAACCACTATACATAAAGATGTAAGAATGTTTCATACATTCATATGGCCAAAATATAAGATGTACATCTGCTCCTGCCCACAGTATTTATTAAGCCAACAGCATCACACATAAGTGTATATGCACAGAGATTTAATTCAGACAATATTTATTTATCCTTAAAAATTACAACCGTGACAGAAAAGGTAGGATCTTTTAGACTTAAGACACAAAAAAACAATTCGTAACTAGTCATGTATGAAGCAGGCCTGATTTGTTGTCTGTTATTAATTTATCAAACATTCCTTTCAGAAGCATTATGTGAGAACCCGAGAACATATGTTAAAGAAAGCTGGAAAATGTTCCATGATTGGGCCCAGAAATAAGTATGAGTAGAGAATATAGCATATGTTATGGATTTTAGTATGGTGACACAGCCATAGAGTCAAGATTATATTGTATAATTGTAACTTTTCCTTTTTTTTTCCTTTTTCCCCCTTTCCCTTTGTGTTTTTTTTCCTTTTTTTCCCTCTTTCTTTTTTCCCCTTCTTTCCCCCTATATCTGTCTTCTTATGAGTGTTGTTCACCTGTTGTTCATGGATGTTATATGATGTTAAAAAAATAAAATTATAAACATGCTGATAAATAAATAAATAATTTTAATCAAACATTAAATATCTAGTGTTTAGCAAAGAATCATAAATCTAAAAGTTACCTGAAAGCTGCCTTTTAGCATTTAATACTTAGTCCAAACAGAGGCATCATTTATCTGGCTCATTTTTCCCTTCACAGCAGTGACTAAATGTTTCATGTCTGCTAAGTAAGAAAAACAAAAGCAGTGTAATCCCTAGCAGCACAGCTAACAATGACACTCCTCATCTAAGGCTCTAGGCATTGCTATAAACAGAGATTCAGATTTCTTTATGCTTCTTGCCATTGTTTTTTCAGCTCAATTCACAGAGGGAAGAAAGGTAAGCCCATAGTACTACTCAGCACCCACATAACTTCCTGAAGGGTAGCTGTTCTCAAGTACAGTACTGTAGAATACATAAAGATGAAACAAATAAGAAGATTCCTGCAGAGTGTGCATAGAAGGAGAAAACAAAAAAGCGAAGCCCGGGGGGGGGGGGGGATTCTTCTAACAAGCATCAAAAGGCACAGGCCACAATATACTGTATATCAAGGGCAGCCACAGATACACACAGACATTAGTAAGGTTTAAAAGTATAAGGAAGCTGGCGTACAGAGTAGGAGATTGTGCCACACCAGGATCTAAGCAGAGAAGTGTTAGAAATGTGCACATGTTCCATTCCCAGGCTGGTGTTCTGAGACCAGGTTGTTTAGTCCAAAGTACTGTACCTTTTCTCCCATTCTGAGCATTTCCCATTCTGAGACCAGGTTGTTTAGTCCAAAGTATCTTTTCTCCTATTCCGAGCATTTCCCGCTGTCAATTCAAAGTACAGTGGTGCCTCGCTTAACGAGCACACCGTTTAATGACAAATCCGCATAGCGATCTGTTTTTTCAGATCGTTAATGCGATCGCATTGCGATGTTTTCAATGGCAAAACATCACATTGCAATGATCGGTAAGCGTTTCGCTTACCAATCTTCCCATTGCAATATTTTTTTAAACAGCTGATCGCCGGTTCCAAAATGGCCGCCAGACGCCCAAAATGGCCGCCACAACCATTTTTGCGCCGTGCCCTCGCTTACCGAGGGCGCGAAAATGGTGGCGCTATGGAGGAACTTCGCCAAACGGTGAGTTTGGGGCCCCATATTAACGCATTAAACAAAGTTTAATACGTTCCTATGAGGTTTTTTTATCCGTTTAGCGATGTTTTGCATAGCAACGATTAATCCGGAATGGATTAACGTCGCTATGCGGGGCACCACTGTATACAAAATAGAAGGTTATGGTGATATAATGGCATTTTATGTTCAATTATATTTCTTGATATGCGTTTTATATATTATCAGTGACTTGGTTCTGACTTTCACTATAATCTGTCTTTTGCCATATTAATATGAGGCACTTATCACCATAAGATAAGGTAAAGGTTCCTCTTGACATTTATTCCAGTCGTGTTCAACTCTAGGGGGCAGTGCTCATCCGTTTCCAAGTCATAGAGCCAGGATTTGTACGAAGACAGTTTCTGTGGTCACAGGCCAGCGCGACTAGACATGGAACGCCGTTACCTTCCCACCGAGGTGGTACCTATTTATCTACTCCCATTTTAGCATGCTTTCGAACTGCTAGATTGGCAGGAGCTTGGACAAGCGATGGGAGCTCACTCCGTAAGGCAGCTATTTAAATCTTTCCTCACCTACTTCATTGGGAAAAAGTGATTTTTCATGCCAGCTTAAGGGGCTGAGATTAATTTATTATGTTATTAGTCAGGACACAGAATACAGCTGAAAAGTATAGCTCCCCTATGCTATATATATTTTAGCCTTGCTTTAGCCATTCTGCCTGTGTCTTTCTTCTGCCACTGGCATTATCTTGGATTCTTAAAAACCCTCAGATCTTGAGTACAGACTTGTGTAATTAAAATAAAAAGGTACTAGGCCTTTCATTAAAAAAATACTTAGTAGATAAATGACATTCATTAAGATGTAACATGTAAGAACCATTAGAATAATTTCAAAGGCACAACAGCGACCACCTCATTTACAAATACTAAAGATATAAACCAGATTCACTAGTTAATCTTGTTTTCATCTTCCTCTTGATCATTTGCACAATACACCTAAAGCAGAACTGACAGATTATTTTTCCAAGATAAAGTAACAGTTGTGTCAGTGGGGGGAAAAATAGAGTAACAAGTGTATGGCAACGCATGTGATATCCATGTAACAGAAAAATCATCACAGCGTTCAGAAAAATCATCGCAGCAGCTAAACCATAAAACCTAAATCTTTTACATATTTATAAGAAAAGAATTAACCATGGCTCCAGAAAAGCAGCTCTGAATAAATGACAGAAAGAAATTCCTGTGTGTGTAGTCACTGAAATTGAATTATTTTACTTTGCTGTAATTTCTGAGAGGAACTGACTTGATGGTCTAAAATTACTTTACAAACATGCCTTGAAGTTGTAGATATGTGTTGCTGATTCAGAAACGTAACTTTAGCAGTATACAGATTTCAACATTCTTCCCCAATATAAGCAGTGCAATGCATACCATATAGCTGTTATTACGTCTTATCTTTATCCATAAACTGACTCCCATTACGATCATCCGTATATCACCAAAATGTGAAGCACCCTGTGTAAATGAGCATGTCAGTGCAAATCCTACCCAGAAATTAACTTAGTACTATATCTTGCATAAGACCCCCCTTATATACTTCTGTCAGGTACAGATTTCCTTCTTTTGTTAAAAAATAATGCTAAGAAAGATTTGATAGTAAAAAAAGAATTTTAGATTCCTGTAACTGTTATTCATTTTAATAAACAGATTCAGCAAAACACTAGATGAAAGCCAGGAAATCATCAGCAAGGTTAAGAACCAGTGCACTAGATGAAAGCCAGGAAATCATCAACAGATCTGTAGGCCAATATCTAAACATGTCTAATGGGTGGAGGGGAATCATATTGAGTTAAACAGGCTACAGATTTACCAATGCTTTCCTGTACAGTATTCTAATGCTGCTTTCCTGAATACTGTACTACTGTATTCAGATAACCTTTTGGCGGGTAGCTTTCATTTTATTGAAAAAACAGCTTTCATATAGAAGGGATTTTCAAAACTTCCATTCACAACACACAGGGAGAAAATACAAACAAATGTATTCTCGAAATGTATTCTTAAGCAAACAAATGCTTAAGCAAAATACATGCCTGTATATATAAGGCCACAAAATTATTACCTCACTTGTGTAGGAACAAGCTGTGCAGAACAGGGCTATGAAAGGCTCTGTCTACAAAAAGGCCATTTTGCATACAAACAAAGCTGCAGCTTTCTTTACACATACACACCTCTTGTATCTGTGCTGTTAACAAAGCCTTAACAAGCAGGATGAATGCAGGGTCTAGGCTGCTAAAATCTTCACCAACATCAACCTATACTATCCTCCGATAGAAAGAAAAATAAGTGAGTTCTAGCTCAAATCAACTCTGATTTCCTGCTAGAAGGTAAAATGACAAAACTGAAGCTACTATACTTTGGATATATCATTCATGAGAAAAACAGGATTCTGAGGAAAAGACAATGTTAGGAAAAAAGGAAGACAGGATATAAGGTGGACTGACTCAAAAAAGAACACGGTCTTTAGTTTCCAGGATCTTTGAAGTTTTTGAGTCAAAGAGTGGCCATAACAGCAATTTGATGACACAGAACAATAATAAGCCTCTCAATCAAACCATTCTCAGTCTGTTCATTACCTGAATCTCCACTTGGTTCATGGGGGACAGATATAAATATGGCATAGTCTCACTCTAATGCCTGGGTAAGTAGACTTGATTTGCAAAAGCTGACATTTTTCTTTCCTTTATTTTTATGAGAATTATGTGCAATTTAAAATCATGAACATATATGAGATATGGGTAAAATTTAAAACAAATTAAAACGTTAATTAGCCTTTTCTTTAATCAGAAGCAGGCTGTTTCAAGCTCAGTAACCTCAGTTGCATAAAACAAATTAAAACGTTAAGATAATTAGCCTTTTCTTTAATCAGAAGCATGCTGTTTCAAGCTCAGTAACCTCATTTGCCACGCTCCCATTTAAAAACAGCAGTTAGCCTATGAGGTGCCACAACGTTTTTGTCTGTCTGTCTGTGTTAGTATCTGGTGCTGCTCAGAGAGACAGACCCTGGTCTCCAATGCAAGGACCTGCCCGTTTTTCCACAGCCAAGAAACAAAGGTACCTACAGCGGGATGTCCTTCCCACTCAGGTCAGCGTTTAAAAGGCACTGCTTTCCGAAGAACTGTTTGAAAGGTCGGTCGTGGGGCAGCTCGAGAGAAGAAACACAGATTGTGAGGGAAGCGGGCTGAAAAAAGGGCAAAAGCTAAGCGGCGGCGGAGGGGAGGCGGGCACGAAGGAAGGAGCAAACATCTCTCACACACATACATAAGTCACCGAGTTGACGAACATCCATGACAGAAGTCCTACGGGAATTGCCATCGAGCTCCAGAACAACACACGCACGCACGCGCGCGCGCTCTCGCTCGCTTTCTCTACGCCGAGGATTAAACCAAGTAAAGAGGGGGGACATGGGGAGGAGATAAACGCTGCCTCGATGAATATCCTACCAGAATAATAGATGTCAAACTGAAAGCCAGTTTTCCCTCCCCGTCCTTCTCACACACTGAAAGCTCCTCAGCCCAAAGTGCTTCCCACCACCCCATCATTCCCGCGCTAGTTGGCCACGGCTCCCCCACCCTGCCTTTTCAGTCCTTCCCTTAGAGGCTATGAGTCGGTTCGGAGCGCTCACCGGTGGCGCTTCGAAAGAAGTTGGCCCCTCTCTCCCTCCTCGCCTCTATGGTTTCCGTCCACTAGAGGCGCCCCCTGTGACGTCACGTCCTCAGAAGGCAACTGCGGAGCTTGAGCGTCCCAGGTGAGAGAGCGGAAGGGGTGGGCGATCCGGTAGGGGCGTGAGTAGGAGCGATGGGTGTCTTAAAGCGTTTCCCCCCCCCCTCGCCAGTGGTGGGGGGTGCGTAGTAAGGGTGGAAAAGCGGATAGGCAGCTCTCCGTTGCCTATCTTAACATAACAAGTAATCCTAACGGTCTTATTATACTGCTCAGAGAGACAGACCCATCTCTTTAGGCGATGCCCCATTTGCCATCTCCTAGAAAGTCAAAAACTTGTTACTTATATGACATTAACATTGCTGTTGTATTGGTTGTACTTCGTGAATGGAGAGAGATGCTTGTGGGATACTCTGCTTCAGTAAGGGTTGCCATACAGTATTTCAGTGCTTGCAAATGCAGGTATAATGATTTGCATAGGAGGCATATATAAATGCATCAAATGCTCCATTTTGATTATTGCATCATTCTCCTACTGATATGCTTTAGCCTTGGCATCATCTATGTAGTAATAATTAATGTGATGGAGCAAATGTAATACAATGATTTCACTCGGAATTGATTTAATTGCATTTATTTATTTATTTACAGTCTTTTTAGCCGCACCATTACCAGTGGCTTCTGGGCGGCGTACAACAATATTAAAACTTAAAAACATTAAAAAGACAATATAAAATATCCTATAGTAAAACAATTCTTAAAACATTAATATTAATAAGTCCTGCTGCTCATGTGGCCAGCTAGAGAATACTGTTTAATTAAAATGCTGGCTAAACAGAAAGAGCTTTATATGTCAGAGTAAGCATTTTGAATTGGGCCCGAGCAGCAACCGGCAGCCAGTGTAAATTTTTCAGAACCGGTGTGATATGAGTCCATGCGGCGGCACCACTTACCATCAAACTGAACTCCCAGAAGTTTCTGGAACTTGATGTTTCCATACAGGTAGAATCATAGATCTGTAGAACTGGAGAGCCAAGAAGGCCTGCAGGTGCCATTGAGTCCAGTCCACTGTCAAAGGAGGAAATGCAGTAGGATGCATAGCATCATGGTTTGGAAAATTTCTTTTTTGGGGACTAATATCTAGCCAGCATTCACTCCTCATTTATTCCATTTCTCAGCAAAACAGACAGAGCCAGGTTTCCCTCAGTTGCACTGTGCACTCAGGATGAAGCATTCATATATTTATGAGCTCCTGTCCAACTGGGTGGCTTCACTCATGGCATGGGCTAATCATGCTGAAAGTCTCTTTTTTTCACAGAACAGTTAGTAAAACGATTGGCTACTATGTTTTGCTTAATATCTCTGGTTCTGAAAAGGCGGGAGACCTCCCTCCCCAAAGCCTGGAATCCAGGTCAACAGATGGGCAAAATAGACACCTAATGGACTGCCTAAAAGCCAGGTGAAACTTGGCCATATGGGTAATACAGCAATTCTTGTCTCAACAGGGGTTACCCTGGCATTTTTATTTCACTCACAAAATTGTTTGTGAAATGATAGTTTCATTCACCAAATAAAGCTTGGCCCATGAACTCATTCGTTAATTCCAAAATGGAAATCAACTTGTGTTTTGCTGAGCACTGTGATCTGGTGATGAAACAAGTTTGTTATCCTTAAATACTATGGGCCATGACTTGGGAGGGAGTACTGCCATTTGCTGCTCCAACTCATAGAGCAAAATATATTGATCTGTTAACACTCTGAGGATGTTAATAGAGCTTCAGACATGTTATTTAATTCCAGCTTTTACAAGTAGTTCCATAAATTAAATCTATGCTGTTATTTTATTATTAAAACTCCCATAAATGATTGGTGAGTGGTCTGTAAGCATTAACAATCTATATGTCCCAAATGATTGTAGTAAAGCCTCCCACCTAAAATCCTAAGTAAATGTAGTACATCTGGAAAAACAGATGTTTGATTTGTAACTGGGTAGATATGAAAAGCAGAGCATAAATAAACTGTGTAGAGAAGTAAGTGTTGGTGACATCCAAGATCTGTACTCCGGTTGTGACCCTACATACTTCAGAAATAAGTTCCATTGTAATGGTAGGTTTTTAATTGAAGGAAATATGTTCAAGTGCAAAGTGTGAAACAAGAAAATATATATAACCACAAATACTTCCTGTGTTTCACAGACCTCATTCTGTTTAAAACAAAGATGGACAGTGAGGTACAGAGGGATGGGAGGATCCTAGATTTGATTGATGATGCATGGAGGGAAGATAAATTGCCATATGAAGATGTGGCAATACCATTGGTAAGTTAATGCTCAAAGTTTCACTCTGAATTGATCTAATTGCATTAGTCTTCTAAATCTATTTAAAACTTTATCTCACTGTTCAACCTTAAAAAGCTTGCAGTGACATTTACTATGGTGGTTATTTTGTATAAATGAGGCAAGAGCTCGTATTCCAAAAATATAATAAAACTTATCAAAGTAACAGCAGTAACACTGTTTATATATAACACAAGTCTATAAGCTTCTCATCGGGAGTCTGTTCATAGCAGGTGTCCTGTGAAGATATTCAGACATTTCCTTTTAGGTTTTCTGACACTTGGAAGTGACTTGATACCCTGTTTCCCCCAAAATAAGACCTAACCTGAAAATAAGCCCTAATATGATTTTTCAGGATGCTCGTAATATAAGACCTACCCCAAAATAAGCCTAAAATAAGTAAAACCCTACCCTCCACCATTGTGCAGCAACCAGAAGAAGATTTGACTGTATTTGAATAAATGTAGATTGTTGTACATGAAAAAAAATCCCCTGAAAATAAGCCCTAATGTGTGTAATATAAGACCCTGTCTTATATTAATTTTTGCTTCAAAAGGACTCTGTCTTATATTACACAATTTATTACAGCAAAAATTAATATAAGACCCGGTCTTATATTAATTTTTGTTTCAAAGGAACTCTGTCTTATATTACACAGTTTATTATTGTTACACAGTAACAACATCAGTCATTCAGCATTAAATATTTCTGAATTATTATTTTTGTGACTTCAAAGAGCTGAATATATTTTCTGTTCTCAGAATGAACTTCCAGAACCAGAACAAGACAATGGTGGAACAACAGAATCAGTAAAAGAACAAGAAATGAAATGGACTGACCTGGCTTTGCAGTATCTTCATGAGAATATTCCTCCAACAGGAAATTAATCTTTTAGTGGTACTTTCTGCAATAATTTCCCTGCAACAATGTTTTGATCAAGTCCTTATTCGCCTGTTTGAACCTACTTTATGATGGAAAGAAAGAAGTTGTAAAATCAATAGTTCTAAATCACTGGTTGAGTCTTTGGAGGTATATCAGAGCATGATAATGTGTATGACCATTGTGTGTTAACTGACAGTTCATTTAAATATTTTCAGTGTATAAATACAGTTTCTTAGGTGTGTGATACGACTCAAAAATTGCAATAGGAGCAATTGCAATGGTGGTGAACATTAAACAGACTATGGGTGGTTATTTTCAAATCTGTTTGTTATTTATGAGATATTTCATGTTACATGTTCTCTCCAGATCAGTTACAGATTGTGATATGTATAGAAGAAGCAAAGAAAGTGTAATTTTACTATCTTTACTGAGTCTGTCCTGTGATAAGACTGTTTCTGAATAAAATAAGCCATTGTTGAGCGTGAAGAGTAGAAGCATTTCTGAAGAGATCAAAGGAAAGAGGCAGCTGTGCAGCTGCATATTCTGACCAAAGCTTTCTCATTGCCATGGAAAACATGGTTACATTTATCTCCTATATAAATCTATGTATAGTGAAGAAATATGTTTTGCAACTCTGTGTTGTTGCTATTTGATGGGATTGTACAAACATTGTGGTAGCTTTTGCTTATCTTGAAGCATGTTTATTCAGTAGCAAAGATGGGTGTTTCCTTTGATGTGCTGTTTTGTTAGTACTTTGTTAGGATAACAGGACCTTCGAAGCCCCTGTTGGTGTGCCACCACACCCCCAACCCAGAATTCAAGGCATTATAGACTCAAACCCAGATGGACACCATAGAGGGATCTCAGGATCCTCCAACCCCATAGCCAAGGAACCCATTTCTTCTTAGGATACAAGGCCGAAACAAAGGCCCTAGTAATGATTTCTGCCCCTGAGTTAGTGGCACTCCTCATAGAGGAGAGATCACCAATTGTCTATCCCTGGCAAATGACAAATACAAAAGCCACCCTCCCACGACCAGGGCCAGAACTCAAGAGGGAGCCAGAGAAGCCAGGGGCAGGTTGCCAGATGGAGCTGCTGAAAGAACAGGCACCAGGAGCTTGAGGTCAGAGGCCAAGGGTGTTGCTTAATCTCCTGAAAGACCAGACTCAGGGGTCCAAGCAGAGTCAGACAGGGAAAGAGAGTTAGGGTGATACTTACTGAAGAGGGGTCAGTAAACTATTGGGCTGAGGAGACCCCAGAGACGAAGCCAGAACCCTGTGTGGAGTGAAGTATATAAAGTGGATCTCTGGAGAAGGGTTCTCATTCAGTTCCAGGTCTCCAAAGGGGAGGCTGCTGAGTGAGAGGACCCTACCCCTCTGCCTCAGTATTGGGGAGGACTGAAAAGGAAGTAGGCAGCTCATGCAGGTGAGTTTGGGTTTGAGTCCCAGGACATCCAGCCACGTCTGTAGTACTGAATGAGGGTTTTTACCTCTTTTACTGTCACCATGTCAATTGGGCTCCTAATCTTTTAATCATATATAACAAGCAGATATGACTTGGTCTAAACCTGCTGGGAAAAGCTACCCTGACTGAATGGGACCAATGTGATTAGCAAAGTTTATACTCTTCAGTAGGAAAGAAATGATTTGAGATTGCTTTTTTTAAAAAAAAAATCTGATACTTTTTTTTTAATTGAATAGTAATGTTTTATTTTAGTCAAGATTGCAAGGGGTAGGTTTCTGCTTTGCTGTTACTGGTGGCATTTATGCTATGAAATCTCATAGTTGCCACTACTCAATCCCCTGCTGTTTCCACCACTTTTTAAAAAAAAAATCTGATACTTTTTTTAATTGAATGGTAATGTTTTATTTTTAGTCAAGATTGCAAGGGGGTATGTTCCTGCTTTGCTGTTACCGGTGGCATTTATGCTATGAATTCTCATAGTTGCCACTACTCAATCCCCTACTATTTCCGCCACTGCCAAAAGCAATTTTCTCCCCTCTATAGTTCTCAGTTATAATACTTGGTCCTCAAGACAGAATACTCTTTCCTGGGTCTCATTCAATACTTTTTCTTTTTCAGGAGTACTTCCAAAGCTTGGCTCTGCCACTTCTAAGGACTTTTCCCTAACTAAAAGCTCTTTATCCAGGCAAGACTGTTCAGGGCATGCAGGAGATAGCTCAGTGGGCATTCTGGCTGCTTCAAAGCAACCCCCCAAGCTAAAGTCTTCCTTCTGCTCCTGGGCAAAATTATTTTTATTGGGACTCTTCAATAGTATGAAATCAGCTTCAGTACCACTATTAGGTATCTAAGGAAACCTCTCTCTCTCCAGGCTTCTCTCT